GCTTACTTGTCATTTAATAAATAAATAATTCATACCTTTTGACATTATCAAAAGTTTAATAGTGACGCTAGATGTATTTGAATAGCTCCCGAGTATCCTTCATAAATAAAATAGCCAAAGTTTGTATTTGCTATTGTAGTTAAGTGAATTATGAGTGCTAATAAATAAAACCCGCCTAAAGTACTTGATTATTAAAGCAGTGAACACGAAATTATTTAAGTTCAGAGACTTGCAAAATTTCTTTGGTGATAGTTAACTGTGATGTAATGCTTATACTGTGACACACTTCCATTGCTGTTAATTATCTAATTTGTTTTTTTTTTCACAATTGGGGCTGCATAAATAATTATTAATTTGGATCAATGCATGCCTGATAATAGCAACAATAAACATATAACTTTCTGAAACCTCTAAAGTTGGACCCGAACAAATATTCCTACCACTATGCAGGCATTGATGACTGTGAGTCAGGGTAGTCAGTGTGTCAGGTGTCCTGTTATGTGATGAGTGTATGTCAAAATTTTAGTTTCTTGCCCATTTATCAACAATCCTACATCATGTTCCCACTTACATAACTGTTCAAAGCTTTTCTGAATAACGGTTTGTGAAAGATTCATGTTTCTGTTGACCACCAGTAGTCATTTGCGAATTGATATACATGACCCATCTTTATGACATGATCTTACCCAATGAATGGATAGCCGAATTCATTTGCAGATATTTGATTTGTCAAATTATTTGTTTTGTCTTTGTGTGTGGGCAATCCAAATAATCACACAAAGAAAACGGCTTGTGTTTCACACAATGTGTGCGTGACTCTAATGTCAGATTGTACTAAAGCAGTCAATGTGTGGGTGCATAGGCATAGGCATATCTACCATATGTAGTAGATATTTTTGTGCTGCATGCATGCATTTAATGCTGTATCTAAGGTGTATAAAATCAAAGACTTAAGCTTCCCTTATTCTCCCTGACATTATAATATGTGGACACCTTACATATAATAGAACTAATTTACATAATATACTGAAGTGAACAAGTATATTTTTCTAGAAACATATATAAACAGCCAGGACTTGGGTACAAATACTTCATACCTATTCATCATACAAAAGATTGGCCCCACCAGGATGCAAACCCAGGACCTCTGAGTAGGTGACACCTAGAAAACCTGTGCACATACCACTCACACCATGGAGGTTGACATATATACCAATAACAAATACCTGTTTCACTTTGATGCTGCATGTCCTCGAAATCTGATTCAGACTTCACTTTCTCAACCTTGAAGGTAGCCTCCAGATTAACCTCTGCTGGATCTATAAGTATATCTCCATCTATACTCTCTATCGGTGACACAGAAAAGTTCCAAGCAATATCAGGTTGTCGCTTCACAATCAAATTTAGTGTGTCCATGGTGATCTATAAAAAAAAACCTCACGTAAATTATGTAAACAAATTTTTCCATGATTAATTACACTTAGCCTTATTACAAAATAGTAACTAAGCTTAAACTCTAGTTAGCCTAAAAATTATATTGTCACTTTTTTTTTGGTATAGTTAAGAAAGCATCAGGTTTTTAACCCTTAACCACCTATGACCTATATTCATTCTTTAACCACCTATGTGTGGTCACTGCAAAATATTTTGACTTATCTGAGCAAACACATGCAATTTATTATTCATCAAGTACAAGTTGGACACTATGTGATGCCTAGCAAAGGTACATGCCTACGACATCACAACCAGCACATATAGAAATAGTATACTGTTATAAGTTGTTGTGGTCCCTGAGACCAGTGGTAGGTGATTAAGGGTTAAATCAAAAATTGCTTAATTCCATAATTTGTACAAAAACTTTCTTAATGTTATTTCGGAGTACTAAACAATATTTGCAGACACGCAAAAAGTGGAAGCAATTAACCATTACAAAATATTTCTCTGAAAATTTCATGCAGACTAAAATTACAGCAAACAAGTGACAGCATCAGTTTTAGTCCAGGTTTAGCTTTAGTCTGCGATTTGTAATAAGTCTGTTAGTGTATAAATTAAGCCACAAACAGTTTCATAAAACATAAACTTTATAATGAAATGTTTGTATGTTTTTAAAAAAAATTACCTCAGACTCGGAACTGATGAGTTGCAACAGGAGCTCGTTTGCCTTTAGTGATTTATCTATAAACTTTTTGAATTTTCTCATCATATGGTAGCAAATGTAGCATATGCATGTCGGCCATATGTCACCCATTACAAGCTAAAATCACATACAATTAAAATACATTATATAGTAGACTATATTTTTACTATTTTTAAAAGGACTAAAGTAATTGTGTAATAACATTAAGTTCTTAAAATCAATGAATACAATTCATTATCCATCTAACTGATTTTAAATGCCCGTTTAGGTTCTATATGCACAGATAATTGATTCTTAAATAATGAAAATTATAAACATCTGTCTGCATTTGAATACCCAAGCTCCTGAATGAGGTAGAGCATACTTAGCTTTCAGATCTTTTCAGATAAATTATAGATACACATAAAATAATAGTTTTATAAAAAAAATATTTTATGGCATAAAATTACCGAATCGTTAAATTTAATGACTAAATGCGCGTTTCTAATGACAATGAAGAACAATAATTATTTCTTTAAATTTTGAATTATTGAGGCCGCTACAGTGCCAGTCAGAGATGAAAGATCTTACCGGAATTTCAGTGATATATTCATAAATCTGTTGAAGTGGCCCATTCAATATTGAATACATACGGCTATGATGTGTCAAGCATACCCTGCATGCTTGTAAACGAGACATTATTGAAAATTTCCAACTAATGGAATAAAACAATTATTTTTATTTCACGTTCTCACATCCACAGATCTCTTAGTAGTAGGCACAAACTATATAGTGATGCTAGCGCATGTAGTAGGCTTGTTGAAAATATATCGATATTTTTTGTTAGATATATCAATATTTTTTGCCGATATATTTTGATTCGATATATCGATACAAAATAACCAATATCGAAATTCGTATCAAAAACGATATTTTTTTAATTATTAACGGCATATCACGTCCTAACTAAATTCGTATCTGGAAAAATCGTAACTAGATCTCAGATTAATGATATTCAACATATCTATGATCTGTGCTGTATTTAGTATTGTCTATTATTTGTAAATCTGTTTCGCTGGTGAATTGGTTGTGCTGATTTCCATTATATTCTGTGGAAGTGTGTGACTGTCTAGTCTTGTTTACGAAAGATGGCACCTGAGAGGCCCTGGCATTGGCATTTTCATCATTCGAAAATAGGGTCTATTTTTAGGGAGATAATTTTCGTTCCATTATTATTCCGCGTGTCATATTTCGTGAGATACTGTACTGTCATGTAGTGTAGCGGCAATTTGGTACTTTGATAATTCTTTCTTTAATTATAATTTGTATTGAACTATTATTACTATGCTAGGCTGACCTAAATATATTTTTGGAAAAATTGGCCCGATATATCAATATTTTTTTTCGCGATATATCGAAGCCGATATTGATATTTTTTTAAAATAAAATATCGATGTATCGATATTTTTTTCAACTTTCGACATCCCTACTTAGTAGCACAATAGTTTTTTTTTTGTTAAGTTCTCCCTTTTCAGGGAAGGCAAGGGGAACAATGCCCATACAGCCTAGTCTTAAGTTAAATTATTCTGTTTTTCTTTTTACATTAGAATGTCGGTGTGACGCTTTCTAATGTTTCTTGAAGTGTTTGGCACGAAATGTATCGAGCTGGCTTTTTCGATAAGCTTCTGTGAGGTAGTCAACACAACAATAAAATTCTCACGTCCACTTGACCGGAATAGCGTATATTTTGACGATTCTACTAATTCTTCAGATACGCAGACAGTTGTAACACAAAATCACACCAATTTTATTTCACAATATCCACTATGTACGAATTTACGAATAATTAAAATAAGACGCCAACCACACTCGATGAAATCCCGCCAAAAAAAACCGTAGCACAAATGGTAGCAAGCTTTTTTTTTTAATTTATTTTTGACCTGGATACAGAGTCCTTCAGTCGAATACATTGTGGGTTACAAAATATTTTAAAATTAAAACTTATGTAGATAAGTGTTCTTCAAAGGAGAGCAAGAATTGCAATACTTAAAATTACAAAAAATAACATTAGTTGGTGTAAATGCTAATAATAATAAAGTTATATTTAAATGTAATTACAATCTAAGCAGTACAAATCAATTATAATAGAAATATTTACACTTACAAAAATAGTTACAATGTATTCCTTAAACTAAATATTCTGTACAGTATTTTCTATTAATTTAAACAGTGGTTTATAAAAGTCTGAATTGTTTAGTAATTCCTGAACGTGGCGGGGGAAACTGTTTTGACTTTGCTCACAGATGTCATTTTTATTTTTTTTTGGTTACGTTCTCCCTTTTCAGGGAAGGCAAGGGGAACAATGCCCATACAGCCTAGTCTTAAGTAAAATTATTCTGTTTTTCTTTTTACATTAGAATGTCGGTGTGACGCATTCTAATGTTTCTTGAAGTGTTTGGCACGAAATTTATCGAGCTGGCTTTTTCGATAAGCTTCTGTGAGGTAGTCAATACTACAATAAAATTCTCACGTCCACTTGACCGGAATAGCGTATATTTTGACGATTCTACTAATTCTTCAGTTACGCAGACAGTTGTAACACAATATGAACGAATTTAAGAATAATTAAAATAAGACGCCAAGTGCTCTCGATGAAATCCCGCCAAAAACTCCACTGATGTCATTGATGAAGATTGAACTTAGGTTAGGTAGGTACTTAATCATAGAGTAGATAGAGAAAGACCCAGTGTTAAAATTTGGGTTTTTATTATCTATGAATTTAAAAAATAAAAAAGTTATAGCGAAGCTTTATGGATGTAATATCCTTGGTATTTGCATGAACGGAGAATAACACAAAAATAAAACACAACAAATGAGTGACAGTGGAGTTTTTGGCGGGATTTCATCGAGTGCACTTGGCGTCTTATTTTAATTATTCTTAAATTCGTTCATAGTGGATATTGTGAAATAAAATTGGTGTGGTTTTGTGTAACAACCGTTTGCGTAACTGAAGACTACGCTATTCCGGTCAAGTGGACGTGAGAATTTTATTGTAGTGTTGACTACCTCACAGAAGCTTATCGAAAAATCCAACTCGATACATTTCGTGCCAAACACTCCAAGAAACATTAGAATGCGTCACACTGACATTCTAATGTAAAAACAAAAAGAAGATTAATTTTATTAAACACCAGGCTGTATGGGCATTGTTTCCTTTGCCTTCCCTAAAACGGGAGAACTTCAACAAAAAAAAATTGACTGACAGTGACAAGACAGAACCGACTGAATTTGCTCGTCATTCAATTCAGTTTCTTTTCTTTGACAAAGATAGATTACAATTTCATTTTAACATAAACTGTAAATTCATAAATTTAAAAATGTTGAACGTGAGTGATAATTATCCTGAATATGCCGTCCCTGGAGCTAAACAACATCGTTTCGAACCGTACGCAGACAACGGAGGCAGCGTCGTTGCCATCGCCGGTGAAGACTATGCTGTTATTGGAGCTGATACGCGTCTCAGCACCGGGTTTTCTATTTATACGAGAGAACAGAAGAAGCTATTTAAGCTGTCTGACCGAACTGTGCTAGGTGCTACTGGATGTTGGTGTGATACACTTACTCTTACACGCCTGCTCCAAGCTCGCATGCAAATGTATGAGCACGAGCATAACAAATCAATGTCCACTCCGGCGGTCGCTCAGATGCTCTCAACTATGCTGTACTACAAAAGATTTTTCCCCTACTATATATCCAATGTTTTAGCAGGCTTAGATGCTGATGGCAAGGGCTGTGTGTATAGTTATGATCCAATTGGTCATTGTGAGAGGTCCAACTACCGCGCTGGTGGATCTGCAGGTGCTCAGTTACAACCATTACTTGACAACCAAATTGGTTTGAAGAACATGCAGAATGTAACAGAGGCACCATTGCCAAGAGAAAAGGCACTCGCTCTTCTGAAAGATGTTTTCATTAGTGCAGCTGAGCGTGATATCTACACTGGTGACTGTATCTATATTTTAATTATTACAGCAAATGGTATTCAAGAAGAGAAATTTGAACTGCGCAAAGATTAGTGTATGGTTCATTAATAAATTTTTAATAAAGAAATATTTTTTTATTATAATTCCTTTAGTTTGAATATTACCAAACTTCAATAACTTTTCAACCTGAATGATGATGTATGTATTTGATTAAAATAATACTAGCTAACAAAGAACTAAATTTAATTTTTAAAATAATAATCACAAGGTAACTACAATATAACTTATACATTTTTGTTCATATTTACAATAATTGTCATAGTAGATTAACACTTTATACAATTTATTTATTGTACTTAGGCATAACAAATATATTCTGAGGAAAAATTTTATCAAACATTTCTCTGACTACTTCTTGACTGGCATTATCACCAATGACTGTGGCCTGCAGTCTAGGTGGAGTGGTGTTCCCTGTAAGGAGGGGGTGGATATTGTAGCATAATTCTACGCAGTCATTAGGAGGCACAGTCACTGACAGTTTTTTATAACCAGAGAACATATAGAAGTCTGTCCCTTCTACTGTAAGATTCAGCCTAACAGGAGTATTAGATTTGCCAATTAAAGTGCACTTTAGAGGAACAGATGTTTGGACCTCCACTACTTCAGGATAATTGACTTCAATAGCTATTGGACATTCGTCTATTGGTAATGCTGAAAGAGCCGTGCTGCTCATCACACACTGCCCTTTTGAATTAGATTTTCGTTTCCATTTGATATTATAAAGACCAACCCTTGTGGGAATATCTTTAGTTTTGTATTTTGCTTGAATACAAATGGCATCTGAGGCAATGTTTTTCTCTGCTACTTCCAAATTACTGATACAAGATTGTGGTTTTGTATTATCAGAGTATACAAAACAATCTACCATCTCTAGTTCTGTGTCTACAATCATCAAGTCCCATGGGCTCAATATTTTAATCTGCGGCATTACTATGAAGGGATCATCCACAAAACACTTAGAAATTGCCTTAAAGTTCATAGCAACAAAATTTGTGGAAACTTCAAATGGCTTTATGACTGTTATTTTAGTAGTAAAATCTTTGACACATTCCAGCTTAGATATTTCAGGGAGGTCTATGAAATAGGATACCTTAATTTGAACTGTGGCAGTAGCTGTTCTGTTTGTTTTCAAGTAAAATGATATTGAATTCTCAGAAGATTTATCAATGGCTCCAACATTTATAATGATTGGCTGAGGTTGTGACTCACCTTCCTTAAGACTCAACTCTGTCACTGACTCAGGGTTTGGATTGTCTGGTGAGCTTAATAATGATAATGTGAATCTGACATCATATACAGGTCTGTCTTCATTATTTGTAATAGTGAATGTTGTGGGAAACCACTCACCCTGAAGGGCAGGACTACAGTTTTTTATGTCAATGGAAAGTTTACACTCCCTAGATGTTACAGAAACCACAGTTAAAGGCACAATACAATCAAACTCAAAGTCAGCCTTAGGACTTAATATGAAATGCAGTAGTTCAGGATGAATAGTTGAATCCAACATTTTATTATCTTCTATTTTAAAATTCATAACAATCTTCCTCTTTTTGTCAGAGCCCATGATAAAAGAAATATTCTTGATATGTATCTCTGAACCATTGTCATGGGGATTTGGTTTAAACTGACATAAAAATCTTTTCACTTTGGAACTTTCCAAGGATATTAGGCTGTTCCCATTTTGAGTAATAGGAATTTCAATTGTTTCCGAGGCACTGGATATTGTTAAGAAAGCTTTAACTGCCTCCAAAACTGTTTTATATGTTAATCTTACATATATTTCAACTTCAACAATTTCATCCATCCTGTAGCGTTGCTGTTTGAATTTGGGTTTGACTTCTAGAAAGCTAGATATATTTACCATATCAACATTTAGTACAACTGGCTCTTTTTCTATTGCTGTTTGCCAAAACTCTACAGCTTTGTTTTGTGAGTGAACTGGAACATCTGGCTCTGATTCAGGTAACTTCATATCAAGGATTGCCATGATGTTTCTGAAAATCCTGTCCTTATCATTATTTGGCACTTGAATATGTTTGGACAGTCCTTCAATTGATAGCTGCACATAGTCTTGTATTTTAGCAGATAAGTAAGCACATTGTAGAGCTCTATTTAATACATGAGATGCTAAGAACCACCATTTCTCTCTCCTATAATCCCACAGCATATGACTAAGCAAAGTGAGTGCTTTGCCATAATCTGCTGAATAATAATACTCATTAGCCATCTCGACTACCAGCTGTTTTCTCATCCTTGGTGAGTGGAATGTTTTGAATTGGGAAATAGCACAGCCTAAGAAACTAATTATCATTGCTGAGTGGTTGAACATTCTTTCATTATATTGAAGGGCTAGAACTGCAGCCTGTTCTTTCTGTGGATCATGTGGGTCAGCACTAAGGCGACCTGGCCTCCATGCTCTCTGACCATAATACTCCACAATACCTTCTAAAGGATCTGGAGGTGGAGGATACTGTGCAGCTTCACTGCAGACTGATCGCATAGCCTGCCTCCTCTTCACTGTAAACTGTGCAGCATGTTGATAGTAGAATCCAGGATGCTGTGTCTGAATTCCAGGAAGGCCTGCTCTAATTGCTTCATCAAAAAGCTCTCCAAAGGCACTGTACTGACGTGCAATCCAAGCATAATGTTCAAATAATAATTCTGTAGATCCTATTCTATTTTTATATCTTTCAATGTGAGACTTCAGCTGAGCTATGCCGTCTCTGGGTAGGTTGAGAGCAAACAATAACTTGCATAGTTTGTAATTAATATATCCAGCAACAGTTCTCACTTCATGCATGTTGGTGTCCACAGTGCGAGTCTCTAACAGGTTGTTGTATGCATGCATATAATGTTTGTGAGCTGTACTAAGATCTTGCTTTAATTCATTAAGGAACCCAAGTTTAAACTGATGTCTCACAAATAAATATTGATGTGTAGTCTTATTTAGATGGTCTCTGTGCTGTTTGATGTTTTTGGTTTCATGATGATAATAGTTTTGAGCAATATCATAGAAAGCATTCTCCAATCGAATAATATAACCCATGAGGTGGTCACCGTGAGGAAGCACAAACAATGATTTAGACTGAATTTCACAAGCAGCACACAGTGCTTGCGCTCTTTCGGCGCCCAGCATGTACTCGGAGGGCGGCGGCGACTGGCCGCCCTGGATCACCACCACGGCGACGCGGGTCGCGTGCCCCTCTACAGCAGCACGAATGGACTGCACCTTTGATGCACATTCTATTATTTTCTCGTTCCATTGGAGATCATTCCATTCCATATCATAAAACAACACAACGACTGCAGGAATCAAAGAGATCCGTTTCTGAATCCAATTCTTTTTGAGGATACCTTTAGGAATGTACCATTCGTAGGAGTTTCTCTTCGGTTTCACAACTGGGAATTCGAAGGTATTATTCAGTAGCTTAAATCGTACCGCAGCGCGATCTGGCCGTCTGTTGTTTGCAAAAGCATCCCATATTTCTTTATGCACTGCATTATTCACAGCGTCTAATCCTGAGAGTCCGATTAGCGCCAGTGGTTTCAGTATTATTTCAGGCGGAAAATCCGTGGAATCACTTGGCTGCGTAGCCATATCTGTAGTAGATTATAGATTAGAATTTTAACTACTATTCTATACCTTACCCTACAAACGAGAAATAATTAACATTTTCTCAATTTTTTATTTTCCCAATTCCAACACCCCCCTTCGATTCGACTACATCAAAAACGTCATTTCATTCATCTGACACACAGCTCTGACAGTTAAGCATGTACTATACAGATTTTTTTTTGGTTTAAGGCTGTTTCCGTGTTAAACCCCTTCCACACGACACAATTTGATTGCCAATCTGATTGCCGATTGAATTGGGTACAATCTGTTCGTCCGTCTACACATACACAACAAGATCGCTAATTTCAGTTTTATTTGTTGCCACTGCTGAACGGACTTGTTTGTATTAGGATGCCTCTTACCAAGAAGCAAAAAATTGGATTAATGATTAAACTGTACGAGCTAGCTTCGTACAATGCATTTTTCCCGCATCAGCACTTAACTTAACCTCATTTTACATTATTGCACAAAATTATTTTATAAGTTAGTTCGCAATCAACAAGCTACCATAGCGCGCGTACTCATACCATTGTCAATTAGCAAATAGTTTATTTTTAGTATTTTTCTCAAATATACCATTTTTATCAATACCAATTCTTATCATTTATCGGGGCAGCCCAAACACTTGGCTCTAACTACAAATGTAAATGAGAAAAAAAGAAAAAGATGACTGTGGACAAAACAATGGTTATTAAAAAGAAAGCAACTGAGTCACTTAAATATAGTTATATTATATTTAAGTGACTCAATTATTAAACTTAAATATAGTTATACTTAATGAGTAATATTTTTATCAATATTTTTCCACTTATTCAGCAAAATCTTTAAGAAATTATGCCTTGCTTGTTTATTTTTATATAATGGGTTAGACACATCCCAAAGGCATTGCAAGTCTTTATATACATCTAAAATCTCCTCCATTATTTCCCGTTCAGATCGAATAGACATAATATTGTCGTCATGTTGCTCCATCTTTCTTCTGAAAAGACAAGTCAACGCACACACCCGCTCTAAACGCCGCTTGCACATTATCGATATATCGCTTTTTTTTCTTTTTATTTTTTATTGACATTAGAATACGGGGTGAGTGTGACACATTCATATGTTTGATGGCGAGTTTCTCGCAAAATGCATTGAGCCAGCTTTTTCGTAAACACGCTTGATGAAATCGCGCCAAGCAGGATTTTTTTTATTGGCTCGCACGGTTTGTGTTTCAGCCACGACAGGAAACCAAAAAATTAAAATTATTATCCTGATCAGATCACTCACATTCGTTAGCATGAATGCGCCAACCCGCATATGTGGGACGACATTTACGAATGCCTGCGCTAAGTTTTCACTACTTAGCTTAGTCTCCCACACATCAGGGGCGTGCCAATAACTTCAGAATAGGGTAAGCCCAAAGCTTCCAAAATTACTATGATTATCTTACTTCCTTGACTTGGCGAGCTTAAAAAATTTACGATTTGTATAAGATTCGTAATTTTATTTTGTGTTATATTACAATGATATTTAATTTCAATTAATCAGTAGTTGACAATTATCTAGAAAGAGAGGCTAGGATTTTATTTAAGTGCATGAGTTACCATTAGGTATACGATTATACCTATATACGTTGGTGTCGATTCTGGCATGATTATCTAAACTTAAAACTAAATTTAACATCAGTCTCTTATAATAGGCTAGTTTACTCATGTCGAATTCTATTAAATAAATGTTTATTTCTTAAAGTATTTAGTCTAAGGAACCTTAATATATCGATTTCACTTCATAAAAGCAGAAGATTGCTGTAGAAATTTAATTTTAAAAAAAATTTTTTAGTCTATATTTTTTAAACACTAAAAACGCTGTTCGCCACATCCGCCATGATTTTGACGTCTCTTCTGGTAAACAACTAAATGTCATTCGCGTGTTACTGTAGGTGGATTCTTTCGTCTGACTAAATTTATCTTAAAACACTTTTAACTTTAGGCAAAAAAAAACAGTTAACTAAGTTTTTTTTGACAAACCTAATTATGGATGCCGGCTTTGTGAAAGCAGAAAGCACAAATCTGCCAAGAATTGACGCATTGATGGTTGGTGAATTTGTTCCACTAAACCCCGATTTCTGCTCTGCGGAGCAGAGAAACGACAAGGCATCTATGTAAGTACAGTGCATTTAGTATTAGAATGTAGTAATAAACATAAAACTGATACAACATATGAATAAGTGTTATAAAGTTGCGTAGGTCAATTTCTTTCGGCACTTTAATCCACAACTTTCCTGGAGTCTACAAGGATGTGTTTTTATATTCTCGTACAATACAGTAATGATAATTACTTTATTTTTCGAGGTATTTATTAGAAATCATGTTTTTTTTTATTATAAACTCAGTTAAAAATAATTTTCTACGTGTTTACGAGTTTTTGTTTACCAGAGTTCACGTCATAGCATAGATAATCTATAGACTAAAATGGCCGACAGCGTTTTTGTATGTCCATGAAAAGTCTATTTTAAAATTAAAGATTTGTAGCTTTCTAGGTTTAAAAAAAATACAATACATTTTTTTTCGGTCTAATAGAACATTTATTAACCATTTAAAACCTTTTTCCAAAAAGGGTCAACTAGCCTATTTTTATTATTTTTAAAGCATGTAACTGCTTGATGTTTAAATCTAAAGAAAATATAACTAGAAAAAATTCCACGCGGACCAGGCAGCAGACGGGACTCGAACCCGCACCCTTCGCAATCCGGGCGAATGCACTGACCAATTGACATTGTGGGTTTACCTATAATGCGAAGAGATGGCGCTGCCTTGCAGCTTAAGAATAGCTAGAAGGAATTTCGACGCGGTCCGTGAGGGCCGCGGTAGCATAATTGGTCAGTGCATTCGCCCGGATTGCGAAGGGTGCGGGTTCGAGTCCCGTCTGCTGCCTGGTCCGCGTGGAATTTTTTCTAGTTATATTTTCTTTAGATCAGTCTCTTATTTTCATTCTGTATAGAAAATGACAAGGATACACTATTGTCAAATTTAATTTTAGAGAATCATGCCAGAATCCCCACCAGTTTAGTATATTTCTTGGGGTTCAAGATTTTTTTAATACATCTATAAGCTCTTGCGATTTCAAAGCAATAGTTATTTCGATATTATTCAATTTAGATAGTCATAGCAGGTAAATTAATTGATATTATTGTGTTCAAATTTAGTCTACGAAATATCGATATTTTGGAATTTCCGATATCGATATTATCGATATCAGTGAATTTTAAATATCGATATTAATATCGATATTCCGATATATCGTTGCAACCCTAGTCACGCCAAAGTAGCGTACACCCATGGAACTAACGGACGTACTTTACTTATTAGTTCCATGAGGGTGATAGACACCTGTTCGGGTTTTTGGCGGGATTTTATCGTGTGCGGTGGGCTTCTTATTTTTAAGATACTTATATTCGTTCATAGTGGATATTTTGAAATAAAATAGGTGTGATTTTGTGTTACAACCGTCTGCGCAACTGAAAAATTAGTTGAATCTTTGAAATACACGCTATTCCGATCAAGTAGACGTGATAACTTTATGGTAGTGGTGACTACCTCACAGAAGAATATCGAAAAAGCCATACATAGATTCGTTTTGTGTCAAACGCTCCAAGAAAAATTAAAATGCATCACACTGACATTCTTATGTTAAAGACAAAGAATAAAAGAAACTAAAGGCGAGGCTGTATGGGCATGGTTCCCTTTGCTTTCCCCGAAATAATAGATGTCTGTCATATCTTGTGTGTGTTGTGGAATAGTGATGATATTTTAAGAGAATACAAAAATAGGTTCTTACAAAAAAAACATGTAAATTTTATCGAATACTTAATTTTATTCTATTGTAAACAACAAAATTGACGGCAATATCATGACGTCTCAAGCGCTAGCTTCACTAACAGCAACTTATACTGACTCGGAAGGAGAGGAAAGCATTGTTGATGAACCAACACCTGAAAAAGAGGAAGCAAAAGTATCGCAATCAGTCCCTGTGAGCCCTAAAAAAGTCGATGAGAATAGTAAATCAGCCTCAGCGCCGACTTCGCCTAAGCGTAGACTGGTTTCATATGTGGATGATACATTAGTGTCAGATGAAGAGCCTCTGTCTCCCACAGCAGAGGACCAAGATGACATGCGTCGGCTGTCCATGGAGACCGATACAGATGAGGCTGTACCTCGGTCTGATCCCGACGACTCCCAGGACGGGGTCAGCATACCTCCTGCGCCTCCGGGGAAATGCCCTAAAGAACTACAGGAAATTATTGCCAAATTTTACAGTCGAATGTTAAATGAAGGCTTAGATATGAATAGAATCATTCAGGACAAGAAGAATTTCAGGAATCCTAGTATTTATGAAAAACTTATTGAATTTTGTCATATAAATGAGTTAGACACAAATTATCCCCCTGAAATATATGATCCATTAAAATGGGGTAAGGAGTCTTATTATGATGAGTTATCACGTGTTCAGAAACTCGAAATGGATAGAAGGGAAAAGGAAAAGAAGGAAAAATTGTCCAAGATTGACTTTTTGTCTGGTGTTGCCAAGAAACCAGAAAGTGATGAGGAAAAAAAGAGGAAATCAAAATGGGACCAAGCTGCACCCAATGTGGGAGCAAAGCCAACTATCAAACAGCCCGGCTTGGTGCAGCAACCTCTTACCAGCAACGTTACGGGAACCAAGAGTACTGTCATCTCTGCATTTGGGTCTTTACCTAAGAAACCCAAGTTGTGACTTTGAAGCGAAAATCTTTAGTTATAAATAAAATTATTTCTAATGTTATATATATTAAGATTAAAATTATGTAAAAGCATCCTGTTTAAATGATTTCATCTTAAAGAGATCTTTATTTTAGTCTTACCAATTAATAAAGGATTAGAATGGTTAGATTAAGTGTGTTAATGAAACACCAATATCTTTTGAGATAGGTTTTATTTTCAAAAACACTCATCAATATGAACTAAGGACATGAGGCTGTGCTTAAATATAAAATTTTATGACATAGCCAATTAAGCAACAGGAATAAACTTGGTATGGGAACAGTTCGCATACAAAGTTTTGTGGGTTTATTTGTATGAAATAAAAATTGTGTTGTACCAAATGCACCATTGATGTGCAATGTTGTTAATCAATCTTAACAACTCACTTAATTTTAAATAGTTTTCATCAACAGTAAAGTAATACAAACTGAAATTACAACTATCTATCAACTATTCAACTTTCTATAAAATCATCATATTGTCATAAATAGTTCATAATTCATAAAAACATAGTTATGAAAATATGAGCTATATTAAATCTCATAACTAGACAGCAGAACAGGGTTCCATTCCATTGTCATCCTTTACAGTTGAAGGATAGAATTGGTTGTCTGTAAAGTCGGTTTACGGACGACAATTTTACGTGATAACGTTTTGTTTTCCTTGGGGCAGTTTTGTGGGGCTCTTTGTTCAGGTTCGTTTGAGTCCAAGCACGGCTCTAAGGGGATCCGAGTTAGGCTCCGCGGGCTGAGATACTCTTCGAGGGGAGGGGTCAGGGAGTCTAAGGATCCCCTCGACCTACCACCTCGAAACGTTTAACTCGTAACATGACGTCATATAATTCGTGCATGCAGCTGGTGTTCATAAATTTATTTATTTAAAGTTACGAAATTACAAAATCTAACAACGACCACCCGATAGGGCGCTAGTTGTATTTTATCCGGCAAGACAACGTGTGTCGGGTCCCTGAACCACATAAAATATTACCCCTTCTGTACCCTTCCGCCTAACAACACTGAGTTATTAGGGTCTTTTTTTAGGAGCGTATCACGTCTATCCGCTCACGGACCTCCTACTCTCAGTCATTTCAGTCCAAAACTTAGTTTCAACTGCGAGTCAGCCGCATCTGAAAAATCAACTGCCACATCATCCATCTTCATGCCACTTCCAACAACCTCCAGCACAGCTCCCACCGCCTACCGGGAACTTAAATACCCGCCGCTAATGGTCAAGCATCTGCTGAACTAGCCGAAGTACATGCTCGCCGTCGAAGACACACTCGGCCGAGCATCCAACGTGCGCCCATTTGGAACGGGCGTACGTACACGCCACTAAATGACTACCGCCTCTTCCAAGCTCACCTATCCAAATTAGAGAGGGAGAGTAGGCTGAGCTGGAATTCCTACGCCTGAAGACCGCAGCTTAAAGGTATCAGAGGGCTGCACCATAACACCGAGCCGCACAAAATTGCTGAAGCCCTGCAAAGTTCGCAATTGAACATGTGAAGCAGATCCGGATGCGAGCAGGTCATCAGCATGTTTATTCTACGTCGCAGCGAAGAGAACCTCAGACACCATTACAGCCGGTAATGGTCTGGTCCTGGTCATACTCCTGAGATCACTCGGTGAGTGATCTCAGGAGTATGACCAGGATGATAATAAAGATAAGCCTGGAGAAAGAAGAAGAGCCCTGCGCAGTGCCACCGCTGCCAGGGATTCCGCTGTCATCGCAAGCTTGCCTGCGTAAGTTGCCCGCGAGCCGCCGTCACTTGCACCCGCCTGCGTTCGTAACCAGCTACCGTGAACCACAGCTCGTGCTCCACCCATGATCCATCGCTATGCACGAAACAGTGGCCCGAACAGGCCACATTCCCGCCTAAACTTGAGTGCCTAATAGACAAGTTAAATTTTCGATAACTTATTCTAAAGTCCTCTAAGAATTAATAATCTTGCTGGATTCAGCATGCGGGAGATTAACAGCACTATACACGTAAAAGAGATGGATTATGGAAGACTGACCGCCTTATCTCATGCTGGATGCTGATCGTATGCTGGATGGATAGTGCGTAGAGGACTTTAGTGTTAAAACGAGCCTTACACTACTCAATTTTAAGAGCCCCATCGAAAGTAGCAATTTTACACCGCACCGATCACCCTAGATCGGGTCCTTTACCCCCTAAGGGTGCGGCCAGAATGCACTCAGATTCAGATTCAGATTTCGAAAACAAGCGCGAGAAATAAACAGTGTAGTCTAAGCAGGTTGCCTGCTTTTTCTCGCGCTTTGTTTTCTGAGTCTGAATCTGAATCTGAATCAGGAGTGCACTCTGGCCGTACCCTTCTACGGGTGCGGTCAGAGTGCACTCAGATTCAGAGTCAGATTCAGATTCTGAAAACAAGTGCGAGAAATAAACAGTGTAGTCTAAGCATGTTGCCTGCTTTTTCTCGCGCTTTGTTTTCTGAGTCTGAATCTGAATCAGGAGTGCAATCTGGCCGTACCCTTCGACTACACTGTTTATTTCCCGCGCTTGTTTTCGAAATCTGAATCTGAATCTGAGTGCACTCTGGCCGTACCCTACTACACTGTTTATTTCTCGCGCTTGTTTTCGGAATCTGAATCTGAATCTGAGTGCACTCTGGCCGTACCCTAACTCTATTTACACTAACCTTGGTCAGGGTAAGTGTCCCTTAAGATTGGGTAGTGTAAAGCCTGCAATAATTATACATCCGTAGTCTGTAACACCCATATTCTTAGTCGCGTCCTCAAACGTTCCTCGACTCAAACTCATTCGAGGGCTCCTTATGGAGTTCCTCCAAATAACCTCGAAAATGGTATTCTACTTGGTATCTTGAATAAACTTGAGAATTCCTCCACTGAGAATAGGCTAGTTGACTCATGTCGAATAGGCTAGTTTACTCATGTCGAATTGTATTAAATAAATGTTTATTTCTTAAAGTGTTTAGTCTAAGGAACCTTAAAATATCGATTTCACTTCATAAAAGCAGAAGATTGCTGTAGAAATTTAATTTTAAAAAATATTTTTTAGTCTATATTTTTTAAACACTAAAAACGCTGTTCGCCACTTTCGCCATGATTTTGACGTCTCTTGTGGTAAACAACTAAATGTCATTCGCGTGTTACTGTAGGTGGATTATTTCGTCTGACTAAATTTATCTTAAAACACTTTTAACTTTAGGAAAGAAAAAAACAGTAAACTTAGTTTTTTTTGACTAAACAAATTATGGATGCCGGCTTTGTGAAACCAGAAAGCACAAATCTGCCAAGAATTGACGCATTGATGGTTGGTGAATTTGTTGCACTAAACCCCGATTTCTGCTCTGCTGAGCAGAGAAACGACAAGGCATCTATGTAAGTTCAGTGCATTTAGTATTACAATGTAGTAATAAACATAAAACTGATATAACATATGAACAAGTGTAATAAAGTTGCGTAGGTTAATTTCTTTCGGCACTTTAATCCACAACTTTCCTGGAGTCTTCAAGGATGTGTTTTTATATTCTCGTACAATACAGTAATGATAATTACTTTATTTTTCGTGGTATTTATTAGAAATCATGTTTTTTTTTTATTATAAACTCAGTTAAAAGTAATTTTCTACGTGTTTACGAGTTTTTGTTTACCACAGTTCACGTCATAGCATAGACAATCTATAGACTAAAATGGCCGAAAGCGTTTTTGTATGTCCATGAAAAGTCTATTTTAAAATTAAAGATTTGTAGCTTTCTAGGTTTAAAAAAAATACAATACATTTTTTTTCGGTCTAATAGAACATTTATTAACCATTTAAAACCTTTTTCCAAAAAGGGTCAACTAGCCTATTGTATTAAATAAATGTTTATTTCTTAAAGTATTTGGTCTAAGGAACCTAAATATAACGATTTCACTTCATAAAAGCAGAAGATTGCTGCAGAAATTTAATTTAAAAAAATATTTTTTAGCCTATATTTTCTAAACACTAAAAACGCTATCCGCCACATCCGCCATGATTGTGACGTCTCTTATGGTAAACAACTAAATGTCATTCGCGTGTTACTGTGGGTGGATTCTTTCGTCTGACTAAATTTATCTTAAAACACTTTTAACTTTAGAAAAGTTTCCGTTTACTGTTTTTTTTTGAAAAAACTAATTATGGATGCCGGCTTTGTGAAAACAGAAAGCACAAATCTGCCAAGAATTGACGCATTCATGGTTGGTGAATTTATTGCACTAAACCCCGATTTCTGCTGTGCGGAGCAGAGAAACGACAAGGCATCTATGTAAGTACAGTGTATTTAGTATTACAATGTAGTAATAAACATAAAACTGATACAACATATGAATAAGTGTAATAAAGTTGCGTAGGTTAATTTCTTTCGGCACTTTTAATCCACAACTTTCCTGGAGTCTTCAAGGATGTGTTTTTATATTCTCGTACAATACAATAACGATAATTACTTTATTTTTCGGGGTATTTATTAGAAATCATCTTTTGATTATTATAAAATCAGTTAAGTAATTTTCTACGTGCTTACGAGTTTTTGTTTATTTACCTTTCTCTATGTGTTTACTGCAGTTAACGTCATAGCATAGATAATGGTGTCGATTCTAGCGTGATTCTCTAAACTTAAAACTAAATTTAACATCAGTCTGTCCTTTTCATTCTGTATAGAGAATGACAAGGATACACTGTTGTCAAATTTAAGTTTAGATTTAGAGAATCGTGCCAGAATCGACACCAATCTATAGACTAAAATGGCCGACAGCGTTTTTGTATGTCCATGAAAAATCTATTTTAAAATTAAAGATTTGTAGCTTTTTAGGTCTCAAAAAAATACAATACATTTTTTTTCGGTCTAATAGAACATTTATTAACCATTTAAAATCTTTTTCCAAAAAGGGTCAACTAGCCTATTCCTCAACAGTGTGACGTCATCATTTTTAAGGATTATATTTCTATAATGCTTAGCAGAAGAAATATTAGTTAAATAGTATCTTTTCTAAACCGAAATCTTCTTTGAAACGAATCATTGTCGTAAACCTTAAAAGGGTTTGCGGCATCACGTAAATACCGTCGCGCCGGATAATTATATGGTTCATCATCGTGTATGTGTTACTGAATAAATAAATAAATCGTATACGTAATCCATAAAATCCACAAATTCGTCAATAATCTCAAAATCAGACATAATTCTCGATAAAAACAACTTTAAATCACCTTAAACACCACTCGAGGAAGCCTTAAGATACGTCCAGAGCTACCTTGAGTTTGACAGTTTATTCCTCGACTCGACCTCCACTCGAGTGAGAAATATCTCAAGTGAAGGATATTTTTGTTGTCTAAGCATACGAATTTCCTCCAATGAGGTTGAGTCGAGTGGAGAAAATCTCGAGGAAACGACTAAGAATATGGGTGTAACTCTCTGTAGCTCTGCAGTGTGACCAGATTCGGTATTTTAAAACTTTTTCGGTATATTTTACTGACTTCTTTTTCAAAAATATACTGAAATATACCAACAAGCACAGGGCCATGTACCTATTTTCATTTACAAGTTGGTATATTACAGTATTATTTGAAGAGCTTCGGTTTTTCGTAAAATTTATTCTGGTCACACTGTTGCTCTGTCCATGTACTCAACTGCCCTATGTTTACCTACTTCTTTTGTTGTTTGTTGTTGTTTTTCGAAACGGACGTGGGCAACATTGTTGATCAGTTAATAATTTTAAATTTAATTTAATCCTCCCAATATTCGCGTAAACAATGGCTGAAGCTCCGGAAAGCGAACCTATTCCTTCATCCAGCGAAAATACTGTCGCTTGTGATGTGAAAGATGAGGAAGAGCCCTTGGCCAAGAAACGTAAAGTAGACAAAGAGGTGAACGAAAAACTCGAGCACAGGCTCGGGGGCATCTTGTGCTGCGCAGTTTGCCTCGATCTGCCACAGGCGGCCGTCTATCAGGTATTCTAAAACAGCTGATCGTCCAGCTTGCGCGTATCAGCTGTTTTACTAAATTTTGTTCTATTACGTAATGTTAACAGTTCGCATTGAGAAACCCTTATGAAATTTTGACTGAATAGAGAGTCGTGGTGACGCCTACACGACCCTCTACGGTCACCATTTTGTGACACTCCTTGTTAAGGCGTCATTTTAATCTTACAAAATATAAATTTACATTAAATACACTAACATTTACAAACTGTTGTAAAAAAAATGAATTTATTTTGTATGTGGAAAATTGCAGCAATGTTTATTGCCCTTTGTTGTGGCTACTTGTAGGGCCTTATTTATATAAAATGTGTTATGTTTTAGTTTTAATGTGGATGGTTATTGGTATATAATTGATCTCTTGTGTAATTTTTACCTGATTATTGTGTTTTTATTGTTATCAATGGATAAAAGATTTGTGATATTGAACCTGTGATACTATTGTATTGGATATTCTAGTTTGTATGTCATAGTAATATAGTTTGTATAAACTCTTGTAACATTTCAATTTCAATAAAGAAATGTTTCAGAGATATAGTTCTTTCTTTATTTAGAACTCCCCCTTAAAAATCCTTATCCTCACTATAAACAATGGAACATATTATTGATATAAATAGTAAAGAACACTATAATGTTAAAAATTAGAAAAGCAGTGTCTAGGCTTATTTTTATTCAAATATATTGTTTGTAGTACTTTAACATCACCAATCATTGAATAAATAAAAAGAATAGTTTTTTAATTACAAAGTAAAATATGATTTTGAAACAGCCTTATCTTGAAACATTAAAATGTTGAAATATTTGCATGTTCCTAAATTTGCATAATTATTGCGTTAAAAGTGTCATTTGCCATTTAAATTTGATTTGTTTTCTGTTACAGCTGTATTTATTATTGTAGTTTGATTACAGGAGTCACAATCATTGAGGGGCAGAGGTAGACCATGTAGACATGACTTGCACATTATCATTGTTTAAATGTTTTACTGGCAAATCAACATCTATAAGTTTTAATTAAATGAATAAACCAGCTACCTGTTAATTAGTAGTTTAACATAGGTGTTGATTTTGTGAAAATATAAAATACACAATTATTTGAATGAAAAATACCATCGACGTCATTTCTTGAAATTCTGAACGCTGTTTTAAATTTCAGTGTAGCAATGGCCACCTTATGTGCGCCACTTGCTTCACGCACTTGCTGGCGGACGCGCGCCTGCGCGACGAGGCGGCCACGTGCCCCAACTGTCGCGTTGAGATCTCCAAGACTTCTGCCTCCAGGAACCTGGCCGTGGAGAAGACCGTCTCCGAACTGCCGGCCGAGTGCAAATACTGCACACAAGTGTTCCCGAGGCATTCCCTGCAGCACCACGAGCAGAAGTCTTGCGAGAACAGGTCAGTCGCCATGTTATTTAAAAATCACAATCTTAGACTGCTGGAGCTGCAGCCGGAGGAATTAGAAAAATGTTAATTTCTTACATGCTTATATGAAATGATTAGGATCAACGACGGCAATTCCTTTTTCTGCTCTGCAATTTTCTTTTCTGTTGTAAAATTTTGGGGTAATGACATTATCCTAGTTGGAGTTGAGAGCCCTCTGTGCAGAGCCTGCCTAGAGGAGGAGGAGACAAGCGCCCATGTTTTGCTCGAGTGCAGAGGTGTTGCAAGACATAGGACATCTCTAATGGGAAGTCCTTTGTCCAGAGGGAAGTCCGCGGACACTAGTAGAGGCCTGCAACAACATCCGGGGACTGCTGAGCTTTCTGAAGGAGCTGGGACGGCAGGACTGATTTCAATCCCCACGTTAAATAGGCACTGGGTGTCGAGTTGCGGAAACAGCCCGCCGTTCTACTTAGACTGAGAATTATCCTAGAGTTTATCCTAGTACTTTATTTTTTTAATACCAGAACTGGTATATAATACAGGCTGCATAAATTGTTGCCCAGGGAGTACAAGTTCGGCCAAGTGGTAGTAAATACGTGCATGCCGGCTCGCCGGCGCCGGCCCCGGTTGCTGGATGGTTTGGTTCGCATCGCGGCGGCGGTGTACGCGCTGTGTGCGGCGGCGCTGCGGCGCTCCGAGCCCTCACTGGCGACCGAAGCGCCCACACCCGTCAAGCGGCCATGGCACCGCAGGTCTGTGACCATGGGGCTACTAACATAGTTTAAACAGCTTTCCCATAACACCTGGTGCGATGCGAACCAAACTAATGCAGCTCTTATTTTTACCATTTAAAATTCTCTCTTTAAAAGGCATCATAATATTATAATCCGTGCGACTCTTTACTGAGCATAGGCTTCCTTGTGGATCTGCACTGATCGATCCGACGTAGGCTGTGCCCTCGAAGTAGGGTCGTTAATGCACCGAGGACACAGATCACCTCCATCGGAGTCCGCAATACTCAAATATTGTTTAAAAAAAAATGAAAATCTAAATCGCCAGTTTGTAGCGTGCAGGGAGGATAAGCCGCAGTTTGATTGAACACGTATTTGTGTCAAATTACGGTACTACGTATGCGGGTGTATCGAACGATTTTTTCGGTATTACCACATGAGTAAAGATGTTGCAGAGGCGAAGCATCAATCAGTTGAAACACTTATGATCCGACATGATGTCCTGTCACATAAGCAGACGATTGCTTCTTTTCGCGTTCGCACTCCCACGCACTGCATGAAGCTTTAACTCCTTTACTTCTTTGTTCATATGGTATTACTATAATAAGTGTGGCACAATTTTTTCGAGTGTGTATGCTGTTGGTCGCAGATGACCTTTACAGCGTCACCGGGTTTGGGAACGGCGAGATCCTAAGGGGAACTCAAGTCGAGAATTGGCGAGTTCCTCTAGAGGTATTCCAGGCGGATGGCATCTCCTCTCCGTCCGAAGCCACTGGACCACTCGAACCTGACTTGTCTCGGCTTGGGGTGTCCTCGCACGCGGTCCTCAGTGGGGATGGGTCTGATGGTAACGATGTCGCAGGATAACCGGGTGCCGCTACGAGTGTATCGGGTGCGGTTGGCGCGGGCCGGCGCACGAGTCGGTGCCGCACGAGGCGGCGTGCCCGCACCCGCATCGTTCTGCCGCCGAGGTGGTCGACGTCATCGCGGAGCGGGAGAAGCGCGTGCGCGACTCCAACGCTGTATACGACCAGCTGCTCGACCTGCTGTCCTACGAGAAGATCTCCTTCAACGGTCAGTACACATATCGCGGAGCGGGAGAAGCGCGTGCGCGACTCCAACGCTGTATACGACCAGCTGCTCGACCTGCTGTCCTACGAGAAGATCTCCTTCAACGGTCAGTACACATATCGACTTTAATGAAGTAACCTACATATTAGATAAATACACGTGCACATGAACACACAAATATACACACTTGCTAGTATTTAAATATAGACATTTAAGCGTTATCCAGTGAAACCGCATTTCCTGATAAATGGCGGTAACGATCGTTTTCCTATCTTTTGCTTTGTTATTAATTCACTATGGTTCTATAACATTTACTTAAATGTAGTCTCGCTCATAATCTAGGGTAGATCACGATAAAAAAAATAGTATTATGCAAAAGAATCTCTAGCAAACTAACTAACACAGGTTTTGTAACCTAGTACAATCTCCAGCTCTCTCAAAGAACTGCATTGTTCTTACTGTTATTGTAATTCAATACCCTTTAAGTTAATTAGAATGTTATTATGTAAGAGAAAAATAAATAAATCATTCATTTATTCAACCAAGCTGCAGTGCGCCACTTGAACACCGTTTGCGACCAGCTGCTGATCTAAAACACGTTTTGCCAAATAACACACACAGTACCCGTAACTATCTAGTTTGGAAGCTAACAGAAAAATGAATATACAAGTTACTTACTATTATTTCAATCCAGCTCGAAGGACCATTATACAAATAAAAAAACTTGAAAACAATACCTGTTTTTATAGGAATTTCGATCAATGAACTGCTCTTTTAATTGTTCTACACTCCATCAAAACATTTACTTCTCTTCCAATTTATTATCTACACCACAGACACTACCTACACATATAAATTACAATGTCCCACTTACTAAATTTTTTTTCTTGATTTATACACGTGCCTGCCGCGTGCCATACAAGTGATTAATTTTTTTTCATTGTGTTAATTAGAATAGTATTCTAATACCGACACATTTTTAATCGCATAATGTACGGTTGCTGTTACTCTTTGGAATTTATGTCTCCCATTATGCTGCGTTATATTTCTCATATTTCTTCAGAGGGAGTTAGTTATATTTTGAAATACAGTTTATGTGCGATAACCGTGCCGCATCATGCGTAATGTAATATCGCTCTTGGACAATATACTCGAGGAACTCGATGGCGCAAATGGTTAGCGCGTTCAGCTGCGATCGTTGAAGTTAAGCAACTTTTGCAGTGGTCGGTCATTGGATGGGTGACCAAAAAGTTACTATTTCGAGATCCTCCGTGCTTCGGAAAGCACGTTAAGCTAAGTCCTGGCTGCATCTGCAGTCGTTAGCACCCACCAATCTGCACTGTACCCGCTTGGTGGGTCATGGCCCATTCTCCCTATTCCATCCACAGGGAAGGCCTGTGCCCCAGCAGTGGGGACATTAATAGGCTGGGTGCTGCTAGTAGAGATGAGTCTGCTTAATACGACTTTACTATCAAAATACCTAATTTAAATGACAGTGCTTGTATATTTATTGTACTGACGGCTGTCCGCGTTATCTTCAGACCTTCGTAGCCGAGTGGTTTGTACGCCATGTTTCATGGTGTCATCGACTCAAGAGGTCCTGGGTTCGAATCCTGGTCAGGGCAGATGTTTGTGTGACGAATACGAGCATTTGTACTCCAGTCATGGATGTTTAATATGTATTTCTAAATTAATATACTTATATATGTATAGTATATGTATTATATCCGTTACCTTAGTATACCATAACACAATCTTTACTTTGAGGCTAGGCTAATAGGGTATTTGACAGTATTAAAAATAAAGTGCAAATTGTTAACACAGATGGTGTTTAGAATGAATATTGCCAGGGGTTTTTACTATTTTTACAAAAAAAATATTCATAATTTTACTAAAAACCCACGAAAAAGATAATAGTTTTCTTATCTATTGTCACGTGACCCAAAACGCTTGGGATTGGCGGAGCCTAAAATGACGTGACACGCAAGTAAACTTCCGATAAAAGTGACATTACACTGTATCGTTTGACGTTTTAATAACAGTCGTGTGACGTCACACACTAGTAAGACGCCATATTGTCCAGAGAAACGTTTTCGCGGCAACTTGAAAATGGACTTTTGATTTGGTTATTTTTACTAAAATACACAACAGAATGATTAATGTCCACTTTTTTACGGACTCCATAAACATTAGTCAATAACGTGAGATCGTTTTCTAAAACTTGTCAAATACCCTATTGGTGTGAGTGTTATCAATATTTATTTATTTATTATTTATTGATTTGTGGTGGCAGATCTGCAGCTGAAGCCGTACCGTACGGAGGAGTACGTGCACAAGCTGTACTACGAGACGTCTCGGTTCTCAGCGTTCGGCCACCAGTGGGTGGTGAAGGCTTTCATTAACAAGAACCAGCGGGATCCCACGCAGAGCTCGCAGAGGGAGATCACCTATCAGGTAATAACTGTACTACAATCTCTTCCAAACGAATTTAGTCCAAAAGTAAACAAAAAGGTAGGTAAGTCTGACCTATATACTATACAGGATGCTACAAAAATACAAATAAAGCTTGATCCTCGCACTAGTGTCGTGTCTTAAAATGATCGATTTTTTTTATTAATCATTAAAAATAACATTTTTATATAAAAAGTTAAAACTTCATGCAAATATTTTAAGAAAATTAGAGAAGACTCCTTATATGATGTACTTCAACTCCCTTCAAGCTTTATTTGTATTTTTGTAACACCCTGTATACTAAATATAAAATTTATTGTAACTATATATCTATATCCTAAATGATGTAATGGAAGGTGATTTCAGAAGTATCTCTGAAGTAATTTTTCAACTTGACGACTCTGTATATATCAATACAGGGAGAAAAAAAAACAGCCCTTGCTGAGTTTCTTGCCGGTTCTTCTCAGTACAAGGTCTCCCGCCGTAGATTTGCGAACCGATGGCGTAGCTTCTTGACCTTCACAAGTGCTTGTAACAGCCTAGACTGAATAAATGACTTTTCATTTCATAGACAGTTTAGTGAGGGGGATTCATAGAGCCTTATCAAAATCGATCAATGGACAAGAAATCTGCAAAAGGCCACTAGGGGCGCTGTAATCGCTTGACCCAAAACTTCTATCAAATACATACCTATTAGCTTATATTCATTTTTAAGCTTTTTAATAAACAAATTACAAATGCCGCGTTGTGCAGTTCCTAGTTGTTGAGAGAATACTGCATGCTTACCGACTAAAATACTAATTATACGTTGCTTTGAAAGGAGGGGTAAGACTGAGCTGATGTTTACATCATGGTATGTATCTGGGGCAGGTAATTGCATCTAGATGCCTTCATTTTGATCAGAAAAAACTGCACCAAAATTAAAATTGCTTTCATATGCCTCAAGTCTGTAAAAAAACCCATGTTATACTTCCCATTTTAATCAAAGGTAACCTAACTCTATGAGATGTCTGACTGATGCAAAAATAAGATAGCTTTGACTAATGAGCCCGCTAAAAGTTACTGAGATCCATGAACTATTAAAATAATCATGGAAAATGCATTTATGTACCGAGAATGAGCATTGTAGCATAATAATAAAAACAGCACCTTTCTACAAGATCAGCTTTTCTGCCTTGCACAGATGCTCTCAACTCTGTTTTCAGCTGTATTACAGACCATGTTGAATACATTTTCACCACTAATTTAATATTTTTAAAAACAAAAAAAATCGTTTAAAATTTGACAGCTGCAATATTCGGCTGTGGTTTGGGTCAAGCGTTTGCAGCGCCATCTATGTTGAGCTTTGCGTATACTACTCCATTGTATTCTTTTGATGTGCAATTTTTAAATATACACTAACGTTTAAAATTAAAATATTTCTGATAACTACCATTAGTGGTAGTATTTGGCACTAAATCAATTCAGAGTGTAGGTACTATTCTTAGGCGGTACCTTGATTAGTGACAGCAGAAGATAATGTTGCAGTATAGTTTATTAAGATTGAATTACTTTCTATAATGGCCTTTGTAACGTTACCCGTCCGTTGCCTACTTTACAAACGTCGTTAAAGGTGCCATTCCGAGACGGGCGGTAGACCGCAAACTGCAGCGACAACATTTGTTGCAGTCGCGGCATGTCGCCAAGCTTGCAAAAGCAAAGCAACCACGACCGCAGGCTAGATTGTCGTTTTTTTAACTTTCCTCCTATTCAGGGAAGGCAAAGGGAACAATGCTCATACAGCCTAGTCTTGAGTTTTATGAATGTTATAATTTTCATTTTTTAAGCATGTAACTGCTCGAAGTTTGATGTATAACTATAATTGCTATTGCTTCTTTCAAATGTTTAATACTTGGAAAGGTGTTCATTTGACATTGTGGGTTATTTACAATGCGAAGAGATGGTGCTGCCTTGCAGCTTAGGAAAGGCTAGAAAGAATTTGACACGGTCATCAGGGCCGCGGTAATATAACGGTCAGTTCATTCGCCCGGATAGTAAAGGGTGCGGGTTCGAGTCCCGTCTGCTGCCTGGCCTGTGTGCAATTTTTTCCTTTTATTTAAGGAATCTATGATCTCCTCCTTCACAATTGTCGTTAAATTTGATTCGCACAGTTGATCCTGAAGAGTAAGACCGCATGCCCGGTGCCGCTCCAATGGGCGTGGCTGCGAGGCCCCTTCGGAGACGCCGCGCTGAGGCCGCGCCTCCACCAACACTCGTTCTCGGACGAGCACAGCGACGCGCCCCCCCTCCCGCTCCCGCTGGCCGACCCCGCCGATGCCAACCGGCTGCTGGCCAACAAGGCGATACACTTCAGGTGACGGTCCTATACATACCTGATGCCTGATGCCTGATGCCTGATACCTGAGGCCGCGCCTCCACCAACACTCGTTCTCGGACGAGCACAGCGACGCGCCCCCCCTCCCGCTCCCGCTGGCCGACCCCGCCGATGCCAACCGGCTGCTGGCCAACAAGGCGATACACTTCAGGTGACGGTCCTATACATACCTGATGCCTGATGCCTGATGCCTGATACCTGAGGCCGCGCCTCCACCAACACTCGTTCTCGGACGAGCACAGCGACGCGCTCCCGCTCCCGCTGGCCGACCCCGCCGATGCCAACCGGCTGCTGGCCAACAAGGCGATACACTTCAGGTAACGGTCCTATAGATCATTTGTTTCCCGTGGTCCACCTCGTAGTCCACCCAGGTGGACCACGGGGTTATTTTTTTCCCGTGGTCTACCCGCATAACCATATGTTTCTAACAGTAAATTATGAATGTTCTTATGAACAGAAAAGCATTTACAATTTTTAAAATCATTTAATTAGCGTAGTTTCTCTAAAAGCGATTCCTATAGAAATATTGTTGTTTATTAACTGCATCTGAATATCTTTTATATAATCACAAGCCTATGTCCTTTCTCAGGGTCTAGACTATCTGTATACCAAATTTCATTCAAATCCGTTCAGTAGTTTTGGCGTGAAAGAGTAACAGACAGACAGACAGACAGAGTTACTTTCGCATTTATAATATTAGTCAGGATTATTTTCAATAAATTGCGCATTTTTTATTTTACAATTCTTATTGTGCTCAAGACACTCAAGAGCCGTAATAAATTGAGGAAAAGTCAGGTGGACCACGGGTAAAAATTATTTCCCGTGGATCAACCAGGTGAACTACGGGAAATAAATAATCCCCATGGGTCCACCTGAGTGGACTACGAGGTGGACCACGGAAAACAAAGGCTGTAGATACCTGATACCTGAGGCCGCGCCTCCACCAAAAGTTGTTTAGAAAACATTCAACAAAAACACGTACACAATTTATTTATAGATTTTATACCACCATAATTGGCTATGGCCAAAGTTCTATGTGAAACAAAGAAAACCACTGATACAAAAAAACTTTGGCTTCGGAAACATGTTTCTCTACACACGCCGTCTACTATTCGCGTGGCTATCGTACACAAAATACACAAGGTTACGTTCAAAAACTACGATCCAGGTGCAAAAAATGACAAATTTGGCAAAATTTCGAACATTTTAGGTTAAAATTAAAACGTCAGAGTGAAAAGTTGTACTCGGAGCGTAGGTTTGGAACGGAGCCCCCGTCTTGTCAAAAAATGTCCGATGAAACAATACCATAGCAAATAGATTGTGGATGCAAACAAATATGTGTGTAATGAACAGTGGCGGACTAAGCCCGTCAGAGGCCCGGGGCGGCAAAGCTGAATGAGGCCCCTCAGCTTTAAAAAAAAATGGATGCGTGTAACTTATGTACGCGCGTGAGAAGTTATACTTCTTTAGCATCATTAAAAATATTTTTTAATTGCATGCAAATAATTAATAATTACAATAAAATAATAAAAGGACTGGAAAAGGATAGTTAACACAGTCAATTAAGTTCAGTTTTAATTTGAAAAATTAAATAAATATTCAAAATATTCAATTAAAATCACTACTGAATTTAAGTTATTAGTCCATATGTAATTAGCACTTGTAAGTAACTAAAACACGTTGTGTCTATATAGAAACTAGAAACATGTGGATAAATATTATAAATATGAAAACAGTGATCAGAGGCGACGAGCGTGCCAACATTGTTTTTGACAACGCGATCATCTTATGGAGCTCCGTGGATCGTTCAAAGTACCTTTCGAACAGATGTCTAATAATGGTGGATTATTAACCACTAAGTGGTTAATAATCCACCATTATTAGACACTAACATTCATAACGCGCCCGCGGCCAACTTCATGGTGTTACTATTGTGTTACAGTGATGCGCGCGCATCTCGAAATTTCACTCACATGATTTTTTCATAACGCGCCCGCGGCCAACTTCATGCTGTTACTTTTGGGTTACAGTGATGCGCGCGCATCTAAAAATTTCACTCTCATCATTTTTTCATAACGCGCCTAAAGAAGTATTACTTCAAAAATGTAGTTTCTTATGTTTGTTTCGTTAAAATCTGGCAAGTGAAATTTTACATTCGAATTAAATGATTTCGGCTAAATAAACATACATACCTACAATATGGTACGTACATATTGACTAGAAACGTAGGTGTATATTGACTAGAAACTATGGATTATAATTTCAAGGCTAAATTATACGAAGAATTACTTACTTTATCCAAATACTCGAAAATGCTAACTCAACTCTGATCTCATTTACTTTTTTATCCCGCAACAGGAATGAAAAACACTATTACATATTCTAATGAAATTACTTTGAACGGATAAGATCGCGTTTATTACTTTACAATTTGAGAAAAGGCTTATCCGTTCATGAAAATATCAGAACCCACTAATAAGCTATTAAATTTTAACGTAATGAAATTTAATACCTATGTTTTAAATGAGGCCAATGTTTTTTATTCGACGTAAATATAGTGAATATAAATAAATGTATGCGTACAAGAGTGAGTTATTTTGCACTTCATTCATTTTGGGATTCCTGAGGAAGTACAGCGGGTACTTCCCAGGAATTCCCCCAGAGACGGGAATTCCCCCCAAAGACGGGAATTCCCCCAGCATATTGGACGCGTTCAGCAAAGTTAAAAGAATATTAGTACCGCGCAAAAAGTCTAGATGGCTTAAGTGTTTTGATATTGATGAAATTATTTAGGTACGAAGCATTGTTTAGGATTTGATCAGGGGAACGCGGAGGCATTTGAGGCCCCCCCCAAGACCTGTGGCCCGGGGCGGGCCGCCCCTTCCGCCCCTCTGTTAGTCCGCCACTGGTAATGAAACTTATATATCTTATTTATTTATACTTATATATATATTAATATTATATATATATAATATTATATATATATATATATATATATATATATATTATATATCTTTGTATATAAAGACATGTTAATATGTTGAATGTTAATAAGTTTTTGTTGATTAAATTATTTTAACAAAAATAAAAACCGTTTTGAAAACGAAACTGGAAAGGATGGCCTCGTCAGACTCCAGACAGAAGACCCGCTCGATTTCGTGTAAACCGATTTTTTTTTTGTAATATTTTTCAAGTCTTGTAGTCGGTTTTGTGTATTTTTTGAAGTGAAACTTCTTTCTGGACGGGGTGTAAATGGAAAAATGGAATGAAACTATGGAGAAGATGAAACATAAATGCGTCACGAGCGTCACACGACTATATATGTGTGTGTGGGATGCGTGCGTAGCTCTTCCCGACGAACATGAAAGTTGGAGGGTAACTCGGCGAAAGCTGAAACGCTACGAGCGTCACACGCGACTATCTTTATATATATAATTCTTCTGTGAGTGTGTATGTCACTGAACTTCTCTTAAACGACTGGACCGATTTTGATGAAATTTTTTGTGTGTGTTCAAGGGGATCTGAGAATGGTTTAGATTCACAATTTTGTCCGCTGGACAACCCCTATTTTTTTAGGGCGGTACGAAGTTCGCTGGGTCAGCTAATATATATATACATAATTATATATGAGTGAAGCGTGCGCTGCTCCATTCCCCTATGCCTTAGGGGGCGTCCATAAAATAAGTGAGGTGTTTTTTTGAATTTTCTGTCCCTCCCTCCCCCCCTGGTGAGATGTCGTGAGATTTTATACAACCCCCTCCCCCATCCCCCAATCTCACGTGAGATTTTTCAAAATGTGGGTTTCTTACTTAAATGCGTTGGATTGTTATTGTTAAAAGAAAAAAAAATGCTTCGTGCTTTTATTTACGACTAGTTAAGACTAGTTATCAATATTGCTGAGAGTTATTTCATTCGAACGAAATAGTGAATGATCTTAATCGTATTACGATTACGCTTAAGATTAAATTTTAAGCGTGTACAATCTGGATTAAATGGACCAAAATAGTATATTTTTTTTTGTTTCAATCAGAAAAAAAAATTGCGTGATGTTTGACTCGACCCGCCCTCCCTCCAACATAAGATTAGATGAGATTTGATTCGACCCCCTCCCCCCCTTAAACATCTCACGTAATTTATGGACGCCCCCTTATGCACCGCCTAATGATATGTTATTTAAGGTAAAAAGTTTCACTTCAGATGTATGCTCCGTCCACACTATTTTTGAAGTGAAAACTTCTTTAGCGGCGTTGTAAACTTTTTTTGTAATGGGTTAAAACTGTTAAACTGGCGTCAGGACACGTGGCCTGATCGAAAATTCGTAAGACGAAAACAATAAAATTGGAAAGATTGTTGACTTTCCATATATTGGACGAAACATACTCATATGGTTTTTTATCGTATTACAATAATAAATCTCTAATAAGGACGACAAGATGGCAGCTTTGTTGCGAAGAAAATGCATTTTTTTTTAAAACCGATGTCGCTAGGTGCGCTTAACTGTGATTCATTTAAGTTGATTTTTCTGAGAGATAAACTTTTTAATGTAATATAAATTGTCATGTTTGTGTACGATAGCGCAATAAATAAATATTGTATCCTACCACATAAATGACAGTACTTTTATACTAATAATTAAATTAATTCGTGCAAAATTATTCCCTAACCATTCCAAAATATCTAAAATGCACAACGTTAATATTCAAGTTTTCACTTCTGCCGGCACTCCCGGAGTGCAACCCGTTTTTTTAGATATGAGTGTCTAGTCTAACCGCTGAACATTGTTACAGGTTATTTCTCGCTTCGAAGTGAACCATTGTACACATAGCATAGTCACAGGGAAGGCAGCAGTTTGACTCACACTAATTCTTATTTTCCATGTTGAATACATACATACTTCTAAAGAAAATTTTACTAGAAAAAAAAGATCCACGCGGACCAGGCAGCGGACTGCACTCGAACCCGCACCCTTCGCAATCCGGGTGAATGCACTGACCATTATGCTACCACGGCCCTATTCGCCGCGTTTTTAAAAAAAAAACTATAATTGCTATTTCTTCTTTCAAGTGTTTAATACTTGAAAAAGTATTCATTTGACATTGTGGGTTACCTACAATGCGAAGAGATGGCGCTGCCTTGCAGCTTAAGGCTAGGAAAATTTCGACGCGGCGAATAGGGCCGTGGTAGCATAATGGTCAGTGCATTCGCCCGGATTGCGAAGGGTGCGGAGTCCCGTCCGCTACCTGGTCCGCGTGGATTTTTTTTCTAGTATAATTTTCTTTAGATTTAAACATCTAGCAGTTCAATGCTTAAAAAATAAATAAAAAATACATACATACTTCCTTAGAATTACATTCATACACTTTTCCCGTTTGAAACCCACAAACAACGTACATTTACAATATATTATTAATACTTGATGATTACTTTAAAGTTTATTGATGCAAAACGTGGCTACTTAGTTTAATTTAGCTCTACCAAAAACCATTACTTAACGTGTATTTTAGTGTTGATGATATTAATGTTATTTGAAATAATATGAGAAGTCACAGGAGCTGTTTGGACATTGTATAAATAATATAGTTACAAAGAAAATTCTAGGCCATATTGTAGTGTTATGTAGGTACTTCGAATTTCTTCATCTTCTTTTGGTCGTATAAAATCCGCAAATGAAAATGTGCAATAGAAATTATGTGAACAATAAGTATCATTCCAGTGTTGTCGTTTTTACAAGTTGCGATGTAAACATAGCCTTTCATGTAAAAAGGGTGGCAAAAAAACATATGATACACGCCTGCGCAGTACCAATTTTACATACAAAAACGTGTACGGCGCAACCTTATTTGTCTGTGGTTTTTCTCAAGAAAGTTTGCTACCTATAGTACTCGCGCTTTACCATTACACCTGTCCTATATCTACTTCTAAAATATTTCTTTTAATTTTCTTCCCTAAAATTAAATAGCTATTTTTGTGTGGTAAAGTCACAGGGACAATAAATTTCATACTTTTTTTATGGTATTAGGATTAGGGCTTGTCCTCCTATCTTTGTCACCTTTCTTTATGAATCGCCGTAATAATCTTTCTTTGTGTATGTGTCGCCGGCAATCTGTATAATACACTGATTTATTTATTTATTGACGTTTCGTGACGTGTTTGTCTATATTAATAATAATAATAACTCAGACGACACATCCTGAAAAGGATGCGAAACGTCAATAAATAAATCGGTGCATCTATACCGTTGAATCTTGTTTTATTCAATGGGTGGTGTGCGTGAAAACCTAAGAAACACAGTTATTTTATACAATATCTAGGCAATGTTTAGAATGCCTGACGCGTCTAGGCAATCTATGAATTAAATAAAACTAGTTTTTACGGGTTAATGCACGAAACTTTATTTATTTATTGACGTTTCGTTTAGAATTTGAAATAAAATACTTTATTAAGTAAATTAAATAATAAATTCATACATAGACAATAAAACTTAAAAATCGAACAATGAAATAACTAAACGCTCAATAAAAGTCTTTCGAAGGTAGCTCGACAAATTAAATAAATGTTTTATTCTGACGACGAAGCCTGTAAAGGCTACGAAACGTCAATAAATAAATAAAGTTTCGTGCATTAACCCGTAAAAACTAGTTTTATTTAATGAGTGATGTGCGTGAAAACCTAAGAAACAAAAATGTATGAATTATTGAAAATTTGAAATAATAATTTGAAAATATAAACATTATTTTCCATTTTATGCTGTGCCTAGGTAAAGTTTACAATTCCAAAGAATTCTGTAGAGTACTTGCTGGCCTGCCGGCAATGTGTAATATAAACAGATTTGGGCTGTATTTATCCTAACCTAGCCTATCCAGATGCATATAAATGACGGACGGATTTTATAATTCTTACCGAATTGAGGAGCTCGGTGGCGCAGGTGGTTAGCGGGTTCCGCTGCGATCGTTGAAGTTAAGCAACTTTCGCAGTGGTCGGTCATTGGATGGGTGACCAAAAATTTACTATCTCGAGCTCCTCCGTGCTTTGGAAGGCACGTTAAGCCGTTGGTCCCGGCTACATCTGCAGTCGTTAGCACCTACCTATCCGCACTGTGCCCGCGTGGTTGGTCATGGTCCAATCTCCCTATTCCATCCATAAGGAAGGCCTGTGCCCCAGCAGTAGGGACATTAATAGGTTGGTGATGAACTTCTGACCAACTCACAATGGGACCGAAACTTAGCGCGAGTTGAGCGAGCAAAGCAAGCGCCAACCACCTGATATGTAATAGATAAATAACAGACGACAGCCGACTGCTTATTCGGCATTGTATAAAATAATTTAGACGACCTCCGTGGCCGAGTGGTTTGTACTCCGGGTTTCATGGTGTCGCCGACTCGAGAGGTCCCGGGTCGACTCCCCGTGGGGGCAGGTGTTTGTGTGATGAATACGAGCATTTGTACTCCAGTCATGGATGTTTAATATGTATTTCTATATAAATATACTTATATGTGTACAGTATATGTATTCTATCTGTTACCCTAGCATCCCATAACACAAGGCTTACAGTGCTTACTTTGGGGCTAGGCTAATTGGTGTGAGTGTTTGAAATATTAAAAAGAAAATATACCAAGATGAAATATAGAATGAATAGTATTTCATACATTGCCTTGACGTTTTTGGCATTCTATATATTGACTAGGTATTATATTGTTTTACGCTTTCATGGTCACTAACATTATAGTAATATAAGTTATTTACGAGATTGTTACCATGTATGTTTTTAGCGAGTTTCCGATATTTCGGCACTGTTGCAAGCGCCATGATCACGGAGTAACGGAAGTAATTGCGGGTAGGCTGTTATTGGTAGACATATCGGTCTACCCTCCGACGAAGTCTTTTATTGCGTTCGATACCCGTACCACTGTTTACATTCTCACTATTCACTCGAAACTGTTCTTGACACACAATACTTACAGTATCGGATCGCGACACGACACTTTTTTGATTATTTTCGGTTTTACACTTACGAACAATGCCGAAATATCGGAAACTCGCTAAAAACAAGGTACATGATAACATCCCGTAAATAACTTACATTACTATAATGACTAGGTATTGTATAGTATGCCGAATTATACAGATTATCGGTAACATACATGTGCGCACTATAAAAACATCGGAATGATACTGGGCCCTACTTTTAAAGTTGACTTTTAACTTTGATAGTTTTTAATGCCGTTGAGTAGGACACGCCACGAAGTTCACGATACACCGATTTTTTATTTAACAATACACTATCTGGGCATCATGCTTGGAGCGCAATGTACCAAATTATTAATAACGTTAAACATTAATGCCATAGGTATTCATATTTCACTGCGTCAGTGAATGCTAAATTGTAAATTTATATTTGAATTCAAAAAATATGTAAATTATTATTATGTGTTCCCGTTTATATTGAGTACAAATTTTTATATTTATTATATTGGAATGGATATTATTTTTAATAGGTTAGTAATAATAATAATAATAATGGTTTTCCTTTTCATTACCTAAACTAGGTAATTTAAGGCACTTTCGAATAGCAATCGAATTGGTTAAATTTAGCAAAGAATGTAAGAAAAATACAGTCTTTAAATACACATTTTTATTATAATAACATTGTAGTTACACAAATGTAAAATTATATTTTACAAATATAAATATGTACCTAGATTATAAATTGAGAAGATCTATAAATATTATATTGAAATAAAAAAAAATGTGCAGCCGAGGGATTTGGATTTTGTGTTCAATTTGATCTCTCTAATCCCTGGTATTAAGGTTCTAGATCCTCTATTGTGTGTTTTATTATTATGTATAGCGGATTTTGATGATTTTACATCGGTGTGTTTTCGAATTTTAACATTGACTCAATTATGTTGTATAGTTAAAGGATTATTTAATATAAAAAAGCGACACAAACGTGACTCGCGATGACATATTAGCCTAATATATTTTTTTTATATTTGGTAGCTTTTATTTTAAGACTTGATACATAAAAGTTTTTAAGTAAAATTGTCTGGTATTATTTATTTAGTTCAGCGTGTTTTACCTACCTATTGATGTCGATTATGGCATGATTCTCTAAAGCTAAAATTAAATTTGACAACTGTGCATCCTTTTCATTCTCTATACAGAATAAAAAGGAGAGACTGATGTTAAATTTAGTTTTAAGTTTAGAGAATCACGCCAGAATCGATACCATTGGTTCCCTTTCCTCCCTAAATCATAACTCTTTCTTTTAGTAAGGGAGTCCAAGCGGGGATTTGTGGATTTACTCGAGCGCGGCAGAATAACATATGGGGAGCAAACTTGCACCTACATAGTTAAGTATTCCCACCATTCCTGAACCCTCTTTGTAGGGCCGAACGTCTAAGACAGCAAAAACAAAATTTTAACGAACGGTCATGACTTTTGGTCGCGCCCAAATCGTCGGTCTTTTGAATATAAGCTACTAGAGGGTTCATGTAACATTTCTAAGAACGGAAAAAATATTGATCTGCCGCGGTTTGCATGATATGGGGGTGGCCGTACGAAGGGGTAGAATATAGGAAAAAATAACCGAGAGCGTCAAACATTGAGAAGGGATAAGTTTACTAGAAAAAGACCCACGCGGACCAGGCAGCGGACGGGACTCGAACCCGCACCCTTCGCAATCCGGGCGAATGTACACAATAGTGCATTTTTTTCTAGTAAACCTTTCTTTAGATTTAAACATCTAGCAGTTTAATGCTTAAAAAATAAATAAAAACATAACTATAATTGCTATTTCTTCTTTCAAATGTTTAATACTTGAAAAAGTATTCATTTGACATTGTGGGTTACCTACAATGCGAAGAGATGGCGCTGCCTTGCAGCTTAAGGCTAGGAAAACTTCGACGCGGCGAATAGGGCCGTGGTAGCATAATGGTCAGTGCATTCGCCCGGATTGCGAAGGGTGCGGGTTCGAGTCTCGTCCGCTGCCTGGTCCGCGTGGATTTTTTTCTAGTAAACTTTTCTTTAGATTTAAACATCTAGCAGTTTAATGCTTAAAAAATAAATAAAAACATTGAGAAGGGATGTTACGTGAACCCTCCAGTAGCTCCTATTCAAAAGACTGACGATTTGGACCCGACCAAAAGTCATGGCCGTTTGTTAAAATTTTGTTTTTGCTGCTAGACGTTCGGCCCTACATAGAGGGATCAGGTATAGTGGGAGTACTTAACTAGGTGCAAGGTTGCTCCCCATATGTTATTCTGCCGCGCTCGAGTAAATCCAAAAATCCCCGCTTGGGCTCCCTTACTATTTGATATAGTAAAATTATATGGTCTAATGGCTACCATCCTACTTGGTTCTTTAAGGTTCTCGGTTCACACGAGGCCACCCAGGGCTGGATTTAGAGGTGTGGCCAACTGGCTCTAGGGCAACGAAGGAGAGGAGGCCCCTGGTGTGAGGGCCACAGCCCCGCCTTAAATCCGGCCTTGAGGCCACTTCAAATATCGCCGAACGTACAGCAGGTAGTAGTCAAAATCGATTAAAATTATTGATGGTTTGCATGAAGGGATATAATGACAAACGTTCGTATACGTATTTACTTATTTAATATCTATTATTTTGTTGCGAAAGCAGGAACGTAACCGGAACCACAGAAAATGTAACAGCAAGAAAGCTATCTAAAAACCGTTCGAAATGACACACGCCCACAGACGCAAGTCTCAACACGGTCCCTAAGCAGACATCGCGGTGCTATTAGGCCCGTATTACAGAATAACAACTAATCTTTACTCGAGTACAGTTAGAAAGGGATGTCGCTCTGTACAGCATATAGCGACATCCCTTTCTAACTTGGTTGTCATTCTGTAATACGGGTCTTTGCCTCGTGTGTAATCGTATTGATGTCATAGTGCATGAGCTGCCCGCGGACTTTCTAAAAATTCCACGAACAAGGATTAAATTAATTCTTTGCCCACGAAGGTATTGCGTAGTAACCGGCTTATTAATTTTATGACCATATTTGTTTATTGTTTACTTGGATGATGTATTTTGACCAAAATAGATGAAATAAAATTATTTTTGAACAAAAACTAATGAAATAACATCCAGTTCATGACTTGGAAGTAGGGCGATGGCAAGATTGAAAATTGGAATAGATTTTCATTTCCAATCGGAAGGTATATTCATTTTTACTTTACATTGGCAACACAGATAAGCAAACAGCGCTAACCGCCCCATCAGACTGCTTGGTAGTTAATGCGAGATTTACACTACGCAATTTTAAGGGACCCTTACCCTGACTGACCCTGAGGATGGTGTAATGCGAGTTAGGGAACCGATCTAGGACGATCGTGAAAAATATTTAAAATTGCTACCACCATAGCTAGGTAGCTAGCCCCTCAGCTGTGTAAGGGGAAGATTTTTGCCCGCATCAAAACACCCCGGTCTGTGGAAGTAGCGGATTTCCGCCACGCTATATCTAATATATAAAATTCTCGTGTCACGGTGTGCGTAATTGAACTACATACTCCGAAACGGCTCGACCGATTTTCGTGAAATTTTATATGCATATTCAGTAGGTCTGAGTATCGGACATCTATTTTTCATCCCCCTAAATATTAAGGTCCACCCTTAATTTTATCTTATCGGACAAAAGATTTTGTTTTTATTTTTTTATGATACATAAAAAAATACATACAACCCTAAATTTCACCCTTCTACCACAACCCCTATTTTTATATAGCGGTACGAAGTTCGCTGGTACAGCTACTTATATTATAATATTTAGAAAAGTTAAATAGAAATAGATGCAGAAAATATTTAGATTGAGACATGAAAGAAGACAATAGGTTCAGTAGAACTCGAAATATAACAGAGGGTTTTGAAGGCCATTTTCAACGATATTAAATACTCTAGACACACCAACAAATCGTGGTCGAAACCTGTCCAAAAGGTACATTGAACGATCCACGGAGCTCCGTAAGATGATCGCGTAGTCAAAATCAATATAAGGCATTATTTAAATATTGAAAGTAACTTCTAATACATACTGTATAAGGTCTTAAATAAAATTCATGCGTCAAAGACTTCTGACAGTTCGAAATGCAAGCTCGTAAAATTTAGGCCTTAGTTCTTTGACTCTACGCGCAATTCTGAACGCGCTGTTAGCAATATAGCAGGCACGGACCGCGAGGAAAACAGACGGCTATATGGTGACGTATAGCCGACCATGCACTTGAATATCACAAATATTTTATATTAAATCAGTTTATAGAAAGTATTAGATCAAAATTTACTTCAAATGCGTTAAATTAACAAACATTGATTAGATACTTGTCGAAAAAACGACACTTCTCGTACTCTAAGTATTATTTTCGCGGAGCTCTGTGGCATCTTGACTTTGTAACGGTCCGCGCGTGACTGTGAACCAAGAAGTGCTCGAGTGGAGTTCAAGCACTTCTTGATTGGGACACATTCTGAGCGCTCGTGGTGTATCTAGGGTATTTAATATCGTTGTTTACACAGCTGAGGGGCTAGGGGCCACGCCCACCCTTTCGATCGGGCCCTTAAAATTGGGTAGTGTGAAGCCCGTTTGATTCAGGCTAGTTGATCGAAATTTATTTTTATCAATCATAATTCATGGTATGAGGTACTAAATACAGCAGGTATATATGAATAAAACAACAACGTGTGTTAATATGGTTTATGCCTGTTGACTCGTAAATTCTTAATTGCGCCTGTTATCTTTGAATTGACGGCGGTCTCTGGGCCAGTTCCGTCCGTAGCGCTCCACACACTCACTAGGCCAGATTCGCCAGCCGTCACCAGCATGTCCCTCTGCAAATAACATCATCATCAGCCTATTAATGTCCCCACTGCTGGGGCACAGACCTTTCCTATGGATGGAATAGGGAGTTTTGGACCATGACGCGGGTCCAGTGCGGATTGATATGTGCTTAAGGCTGCAGATGCAGCCGGGACCAACGGCTTAACGTGCCTTCCGAAGCGCGGAGGAGCCCGAGAAAATAGAGAGAAAAAATTGTAAGTTGTCACCCATCCAATAACCGACCGACAAAGTTGCATAAGTTCAACGATTGCAGCCGAACGCGCTTACGACCCGCGCCATCGAGCTCCTCATATAACACGCAAATAACATAGTAGGCTCAATTCGAGCAAATACTAAATTATACAGGTCATACATATAATTCAACTGTATAGTTGTCGAAAAATTATCTTTCTACATCTCTCTTTTTCTGAATTTATGATTAACCTATGTTGTTATATATAAATTTAAAGTTATAGATACGTCAAACAAGCTTCTAATTTGGCAATACGAAAGTCAGGTCCAATTGCCCGACTAGCATTCAGTCGAGTTCACTCTTTCACCGCATATACACTTCGCTACAACGTGTAAATATTTTAATCTTTTTCGGACAAAAAGCACTATGTTTGCTTTTAGATAGTACACAGGGGAACTAACAGCTATCAGAGACAAGAAAAACGTGCCATTTCATTCGTAAGTACAGTTTTTAAAGAAATTACTGAAGTTTTCTCTCACTAGAACTCAAAAAAAAGCTATGACTAATTTTGATGCGTATGTTGTGTGTTACAGTCCTACCTACTTTGATAAAAAACAAATATAATCAAAAAACAACTCACTTCTTTATTGTACCAACAGCATCTGACCGTCTGCTTGTTTTGTGTAAAATTGGAGCAGGGCTGGAGTTTCTTCCCTGCCACAGTAACAGACCTCAGGACATCACTGAAATGAGATTTTTGATGATGAACTTGATTATAAACTGCTTCTGTTTATGAATTATGGGAGAAATGAAATCTGTCTATCTGTCTATTTATTTACCCATTTTCTCCATGTGACCCTGCCAACAATACAGGGGTGTCATCAACTGATGTATATGCATCTACCAAATAGCAGTCATCTCCTTTGCTTCTCTGAAAAGAAATGATTATTTCAAACAAAGTAATTAGCTTTAAATAACTTTTTATAAATTTTAAGTTAATCTTACCTTAATGCTTTTAGCAACCTTATCTCTACTGAAACTCCTGATCATATCTCCGGTTTCCGAGTTCCATATCTGGAAGTCATTTGATTGTGTAGTGCATGCAACCTGCGTTGCGTCAAGCCAGCTTATTTTTTCAATAGAGTTCTCTACGTTCAGTGAGAATGTCAAAGCCTCATCTTCGGTCTGTTCCAATATGTTGAAAACATTTAACAAGCCATCCATGGCTCCTGTTGTTATTATTTCAGTCTTTTCTTTGTGAAATTTGATCTGAAATAATTAAAATTAATAACTTTAATAAAGAAGAATGGCGAATGTAGGCCCAAATGTTTTAGAAGCCGTTCAATGCTAGTAACATTAAAATTAAAAATAAGGGAACTTACAGTAATTTTTAAAATATAAACTAGATTTTTAAAAGCTTGCATTCAAAAATAAAATAATTTAGGTTTCTATATTGAAACAGCACATTATCCATAGCAATAATAAAACGCGAAAATAGTGTTGTGGTTAAGTTTCGGCTTATGCAGTAGTTTTTACAACATCAATAGCAGCTATTGCTATTAATGTAACTTAATTATTTTAATTATTTGATAAATTAAACAAAAGAAGTTAACGTCATCAAAATAAAGATAAAAATAGTTTATTTTTAAACATCTTTTTAATATATAAACGGATATTGGTTTTTCACTTCTGAGAACGGACAAACATTTTTAAAATATAATGTCAATGTCTGACGTCTGTCAATTTTTATGTTGTTTCGCTCATTTCAGTGTTTATTTTACGTTGAATATTTTAATGTCATTTGCTGCCTATTATGTCGCGTTTTTGCATAGAGAAGAAGAAAATATGATACAAATTCATGAAAATCACATTATAAATACATCATATTATTATATACTTAAGTAAAATAGAAACACATAATTGTAAATAAAGCATAACCTTACTTTTAATATTAATCCTACTACTTATATCTTTTTTGTGCTAGCTTTAATTGATTATGTCTAATTGACTTTTTTCTTAGTCTTATTTAGCAGTATGAAAATCTATAAGTTTCATTTGTGAATGGGGCCTTAAAATCTGAGTCTCAAACTATATGGAAGTTCGCTATTCTTCTTTCATTACAACCATTAACAGTTTTTTTCATGTTTACAGGCATTTGTGTGGTATCTACAACAGTGTCTTTCTAAGCAAAATACTAGGATATTCGTCAATTTAAAGTATGTTTCCAGATATATACTTTTAAAATATTGTTACAAATTTATAATTACCTAATTCAGTTATGAAGAAAACCACAGTGTACAATGCTATTCCCTTAAATGAAAATAAGAAACAATAGGTATCACATTATCACCTGTGTAATGTCATCTGTATGCGAGTTCCAGTAACCTCCAAGGGGTTTGGGCTTCCTTTGATCCCAGAACACAAGGTAAGCATCATCCTGGACTAGTTGACTGCCCGCACAGAGCACACGGCCGTTGCATGACACGTCCACGCACTCAAATGGCTTCACAATCTGTTCATCATCATCATCTAGATAAGCAATATTTTTGGATTTATATTTTTCAGAAATTGACCAAGCCTTCTACACCATACTCCAATTTTAATTGTTAAAGTATTATTATCCAACATATCATGTGCGGCAATACTTATTTACATTGTGTGACCAAAATAAAAGTTATCTTGACTCATATAATTTGAATTGAATCTATAATTTAATGTTATACATAATAGGCAAGTTATTATAACCTGACACCCAAGCATTTACTAAAATCTTTTGTCACTATGGTTGAATGTACTTCACAAAGCATTAAACAGTTTTTGATGCAAAGGCCGAGACCATTCCTGTTGAATAAAACATACACTAAGGTTTTTTAGAGGTTTCACTTCAACAAATGTTTTTTAATATTATTTCATAAAGACATTGAGCATATCAAATTATTATTATCAATTAAGTTTTAAAATAAATTATACCAAATAAATAAAACTAGTATTTACGGGTTAATGCACGAAACTTTATTTATTTATTGACGTTTCGCAGCCTTTTCAGGTCTGCATCGTCAGAATAATGATTTTTTATTTAAAACGTCAATAAATAAATAAAGTTTCGTGCATTAACCCATAAAAACTAGTTTTATTTAATGAGTGATGTGCGTGAAAACCTAAGAAACAAATATGTTATACCAAATAATCACATTTATTTCAAGTGCCTAAAATATTAATAACAAACACTCGGGAATTGATGCTACCTGAAGGTCGGTTGCCCGTTGTCGATATATGAAGTTCAAAAATATTCGGCCTTTACAGTTTACGGTTTATTTAGCACTTTGTAAAATACGCAAGGTGTCAGGAGGATAAGACTAATACCAAGAAATACGTAAGGATTAATTTAGGTAACCCTAACTGTTCAAAATGATTAATACCTTTGTATTCTTGTGCACAGCTGCCACCAGCTCTCAAGTCCCACAGTTTAATAAGTCCATCATGCCCTGTGGTATAAAGCAACTGATCATCATTTTGACTGAATACCACTTCTGTGAGGGACTTCTCGTGGCCACTGAGCCGGCAGATTAAGGAAAGTGATGTCTTTTTTAGGTCAAACACTTCAACACTATTGTTGTCTGCTACACCAACTGCTATTTTTAGAGAACTGAAAGAAGGTTATATGTTAGGAAGATGTGAAATTTGTCATTTTCCACAAATGGGTATAAAAGAAAATCATAGATAATATTAGTGAGACAACATTAAACACATTTGCTAACATAAAGAAAGGATTTTCTCACTATCTCTGATCTTCCAATTTCTTGCGTGTCTGTCTTAAGCGAATATAAAACTTTCGCAGATTTTAGGGATTATATTTCATTATTGACATGAACTTATTTTCTGATCTATGCATTTTTTTATTTTATTTACATTATTACGGTAATAGTTACCTCGTTCCATCCAATTTGTTAACGTAAGATTTCTTCAATGTTACGGCTGTTTGGGTCAACAAGTTGTAATTACGTTGAAAAAGTTGTTCTATAATAGTTGGTTCATCTGTGTCCTTATCAAGTTCTTCCTTATCGATAATATCATCCATTTTTAAATGGCTTAGTAATAAATATTTACAAAAATTAGGCGAATTTTAACAAACCACAACACCACGTGCGTATATGTAAATAAACATCCCATTCCACAAAGTCAACTGTCACTGTCACAATTACATGTTTTTTTTTGTTGAAGTTCTCCCGTTTTAGGGAAGGCAAAGGGAACAATGCCCATACAGCCTAGTCTTTAATTAAATTTATCTTCTTTTTATTTTTACATTAGAATGTCGGTGTGACGCATTCTAATGTTTCTTGGAGTGTTTGGCACGAAATGTATCGAGTTGGCTTTTTCGATAAGCTTCTGTGAGGTAGTCAACACTACAATAAAATTCTCACGTCCACTTGACCGGAACAGCGTATATTTTAATGATTCCACTAATTCTTCAGTTACGCAGACAGTTGTTACACAAAACCACACCAATTTTATTTCACAATATCCACTATGAACGAATTTAAGAATAATTAAAATAAGGCGCCAACCGCACTCGATGAAATCCCGCCAAAAACTCTTTTTTTTATTTATTCTCTTCCCTATTGGGCAAGGCCAAGGCAAAGTCTTTGTATTTTACTAAACTTTTTTACATTAGAATGTGGATGTCCCCACATCCCGTGTGTGACGCAGTCTAATGTTTCTTGGAGTGTTTGGCATGAAATGTATGGAGTCTCTATTAGTCGGAGAGCCGGCCGTATAAAAGTCCTATGGATCAGATACATGAATCATTTTAGGGGTATGAACAATAAAGCCATTGGTCTAGCGGTCGACACCTCGGAAGTTGCTTGATTTTGCCCGCATGTAAAATTATGACGTCACTTCCGGTTTTTATTTTAGGTGTGTAATGTATGACATTAAGAAAATTTATGTCAAACGAAAGTTTTTGATGAGTAGGATAGAAATGTCAAGGGTCGACAAGCTCTATTTATTCGCTACCATGAGTCGACCACCATCAAGGAACTTATATACTAACTGGAATGCTTACGTTACCCTCAAAATCGTTCCGAAGAACAAAGCTGAATTGGTGGAGTGTGTCTCGTTTTAGTAGTTACTTCATTGATGAGACAATTAATTTACTTTGAGTAAAGGAACCGTCTTATTTTCAACTCTATATCATTAGCTTGAAAGTTCAAAAAATATTAAAATCTTTAAAGACCTCCCGAGCTTATTAAATATGTCACTACTTATATGTATTGCATCTGTTTTTTATCCAACATTGAACACGATTAACGTTTCTCAAATTTTAATTTGTCAAACGATACGTTTTTCAATAATAGGCTAGTTGACTCATATCGAATTGTATTAAATAAAATTTTATTTCTTACAGTATTTGGTCTAAGGAACCTAAATATATCGATTTCACTTCATAAAAGCAGAAGATTGCTGTAGAAATTTAATTTAAAAAAATATTTTTTAGTCTATATTTTTTAAACACTAAAAACGCTGTTCGCCACATCCGCCATGATTGTGACGTCTCTTTCAGTAAACAACTAAATGTCATTCGCGTGTTATTGTGGGTGGATTCTTTAGTCTGAATAAATTTATCTTAAAACACTTTTAACTTTAGAAAAGTTTCCGTTTACTTTTTTTTTTGACAAAACTAATTATGGATGCCGGCTTTGTGAAAGCAGAAAGCACAAATCTGTGGTTGGTGAATTTTTTGCACTAAACCCCGATTTCTGCTCTGCGGAGCAGAGAAACGACAAGGCATCTATGTAAGTACAGTGCATTTAGTATTACAATGTAGTAATAAACATAAAACTGATACAACATATGAATAAGTGTAATAAAGTTGCGTAGGTTAATTTCTTTCGGCACTTTAATTCATAACATTCCTGGAGTCTTCAAGGATGTGTTTTTATATTCTCGTACAATACAATAATGATAATTACTTTATTTTTCGTGGTATTTATTAGAAATCGTGTTCTTTTTATTATAAACTCAGATAAGTTATTTTCTACGTGCTTACGAGTTTTTGTTTACTATAATTGACATGATAGCATAGACAATCTATAGACTAAAATGGCCGACAGCGTTTTTGTATGTCCATGAAAATTCTATTTTAAAATTAAAGATTTGTAGCTTTCTAGGTCTCAAAAAAATACAATACATTTTTTTTCGGTCTAATAGAACATTTATTCACCATTTAAAACCTTTTTCCAAAAAGGGTCAACTAGCCTATTCTTATGTATACTTTAGATACCTACCTAGGAAAAAAATTAAAGTATAACCACTGAATAATATTTAATTATTTTATTATTTAAATAATAGATTATAACTTTAAAAGCTTTAAAAAACACGATGCATCGTTTTATCAATTAATGTTTACTTTTCATCTTAACGAATTAGGTATAATACAAATTATTATAAAAATTATAATATATCACTTATTTTTATTAACATTTTTATGCAAGCTCTTATTTGACATTACAGAAATTGTTTAAAATCGACAAAATCGTGCATTTAACAAGTTAAGTGTATCGCGTGGGGCGCGTGGTAGCCCGGTAACTGCGTGCAAGTGCATTCAACAAGTTGAGTGTATCGCGTGGGGCGCGTGGTAGCCCGGTAACTGCGTGCAAGTGCATTCAACAAGTTAAGTATATCGCGTGGGGCGCGTGGTGGCCCGGTAGCTGCGTGCAAGTGCATTCAACAAGTTAAGTATATCGCGAGGGGCGCGTGGTGGCCCGGTAGCTGCGTGCAAGTGCATTCAACAAGTTAAGTATATCGCGAGGGGCGCGTGGTGGCCCGGTAGCTGCGTGCAAGTGCATTCAACAAGTTAAGTATATCGCGAGGGGCGCGTGGTGGCCCGGTAGCTGCGTGCAAGTGCATTCAACAAGTTAAGTGTATCGCGTGCTGGCCTGGTAGCTGCGTGCAAGTGCATTTAACAAATTAAGTGTATCGCATGCGGCGCGTGGTGGCCCGGTAGCTGCGTGCAAGTGCATTTAACAAGTAAAGTGTATCGCGTGGGGAGCCGGTTGTCCCAATAGCTGCGTGCAAGTACATCGAACACGTTAAGCGTATCGCGTGGGGCGCGTGGGCCGGTAGCGCGGCCCCACGCGCGTGACGTCCCCGGCGGCGAGGCGCGCCACCAGCACCCGCACGGGCCGCGGGGGGATGGCGTCCAGCTCCGAGCTCTGCTCCGAGAACGCCCAGCGCACGTACCGCTCCATGGTGATGTGATCTGTGGCATTCACGATCATGTCAGATCCCATACAATTGTTATGCCTTATATATATATTTATTTACTAAGATTGAGGAAAAAAACACCGATTAATAATATTTATTTAATAAGACTTTGAGAAAAAAAAAACAGAATCTAGCTCTTCTGTTCCGCTCATCTCTGCATTTCCATCGGAGTAGTTATGAATAATCATGCACTATTACTAGGTCACATACGAACATGCATCCTTTATGTAAATTAAAGTTTGAAGTTTTAAAATGACATTTGGTTAACGATTTAGGTTATCAACCATTCATGGCCAAAGCTCAATAAGTGAAAAAGAAATATTAACCGATATCAATTATCAATATTTGTTATAGTTTGTTTACAAATGTTTGATTTTATTCTAGAATTAGCCGAGTGTTAAAAAAAGATTTAAAGTTTTTTTGCAAACCGTACTTTTCAAGCGACATTTGACAGATGGAGGTCATTGGCTTTCCTATTCTTATTTTAATCACATTATAATATTTTTTCGATATAAAGTATTCTATGCATCTCTCTTTATCTAGATCATAAAATATATGAGTATCACATTTTATCAGAATCCGTTCAGTGGTTTATGCGTGACAAACGAACAAACAACCAAACAAATAAAGTCATTTTCATATTCATAACATTAGTGAGTATTATTAATATTGACCTATGGCAGGGTCGAGTATAGCGATGGCGCGGCGCAGGTCGTGCACGGAGGCCGGGCGGGCGAGGGCGCGGCGCCCCCCCAGCTGGCCGGTCAGTTCCCGCACGTACTTGTCCTGAGCCAGTTGGCGCTGCCGGAATAGTTCGCGGGCTAGCTCCGCGCGGTCGTACCCTTCTTCGTTCTGCTCGTAACATATAATACATCATATAACTTTTGGTTTATTATGAAGCTCACTGACAGTGCGATAAGGAACTTATTAATGTGAGTGACAAATTCAGGGAGGCGCTAGGTGTCGATTCTGGCGTGATTCTCTAAACTTAAAACTAAAGGAGACCCGGCACTTTTCATAGAAAAAATGCTAAACTTGAATACAGTTGAATTTGGTCTCAAAATAAAGCCAAAATTATTTGCTACATAAAACTACTTTTGCCTTATTTTAAGTGAATCGTGGAAAGAAGTTATATAATGATTAATATTATTTGATATGGAAACCCTAAATCTTCAAGGGACAGAATTTTACTTCAAAATATTACTCAAATGATTGTAAAAACCTTGATTCCTTTGCTTTTTCTAAATAAAAAATCAAATGTCAATTTGACAATCCTAAAATACAAACAAAAAAATCATTCGCATTTCGCATCCGCTCCCGCGTACTGTGATTGTGAATGTTCTCTGCTGTGATTGCCTTTTTATCCGTTATTTCTCTTGACGACCCGGCTACATATAGAGGTTATATTGACAAACCTACGTATTTGACATTGACAGCTAGCTGCTGATGACAAATATTGCCAGACTACGTTACCCAATTAAGAAACACAGATAAAAAAATTAAAAAAGTATACAACTTTAGCACAAAATGCCGGGTGTCCTTTAACATCAGTCTCTCCTTTTCATTCTGTATGGAGAATGACAAGGATGCACTGTTGTCAAATTTAAGTTTAGCTTTAGAGAATCGTGCCAGAATCTACATCACTGGCAACGTAAATGAAATACTTATATAATAAATATTTCAGCAAAAAAGTGTGCGAGAAATTACCGTGAACAATAAATTAAAAAAAAAATTGCAAATTTTTGTAGCAGATAAAATGTTAGATACTACAGGGTCCGTGAATTTTTGTAAGACAAAAGTTCTTAGGGTGCGGCCAGAGTGCACTCAGATTCAGATTCAGATTCCGAAAACAAGCGCGAGAAATAAACAGTGTAGTCGAAGGGTGCGGCCAGAGTGCACTCCTGATTCAGATTCAGATTCAGACTCAGAAAACAAAGCGCGAGAAAAAGCAGGCAACCTGCTTAGACTACACTGTTTATTTCTCGCGCTTGTTTTCAGAATCTGAATCTGACTCTGAATCTGAGTGCACTCTGGCCGCACCCTTAGACTACACTGTTTATTTACTCTGTAATCAGGAGTCTCTCTCTGGCCGTACCCTTCACACTGTTTATTTCTCGCGCTTGTTTTCGGAATCTGAATCTGAGTGCACTCTGGCCGCACCCTTAGACTATAGAAAAAATTACATGCATGAAATACAATCTTAAAGTGAACAAAAATTGTAAAGCTATACATTTTTTACCTTAGAGTTGAATATATTTATTTTTATATGACAGTTAACATAATGTATTTTTGACAAAACATTTTACATTAAACATCTGAACAGTCTACAGTTCACAATTCATGCAAGCAATTCGACAAAAAAGAGAAGAAAAGGTGAACGCTACATTTATCTATATGACGTATCAAAATTCCTAAAAAATAGGTACTTCTAAGCCTTTAGCACGAACCAATATCGAATTCGAATAGTTTGCGAGTGCGAAATGTCATTGTCAAATGTATATTGATTTTTAGTTTTCGTAACGTCTGTTGTGGCGCTTCTGTTCAGGTTTCCATACAAATTTTGACATTGATTTTGAAATGTTTATTTTTTTATTTTTTAATCATTCATCGACTTTTTGGCGGTACGAAGTTCGGTATCAGCTAGTTAGATATAAAGAAAAGTTAAAGAGAGATATTAATAATTAAATGTTTTAACGTGATTTTTTTACCGGAAGCCATAAATATAATTATGGATATTATATTATATTAACTAAATATAACGGACTCGCAATCTATTCGAATTCAATATTGGTTCGTGATAAGGGTACTGAGCACACCTCTTGGAACAGTTTGTCCAAGTTGATCTCATTCTGGTTGATCTTCAATTTGAGCTGCTTACGCACCACGTCCATGAGGTTCTTGATGTCCACTTCGCTCTTTAATGGAAACACTGCCTTGGCACATTTCTCGAACTCTTCGGCTGTTGTTGTCTGTCCAAAGGAGGAACTGAGTTAACAGCAATCTGGAGAACACTTTTGGGCCGGGTAATGTTACCTTGCGGTTGGCAATAGCCATCGAACATTTTTAGGGGCCTACATAAACATTACGTTTACGCCACCGAGCCCTGCATAGTCCCCTTCTCAGGGGACGATCGCATCCGATGAAACCTTAAGGCGATATCAGACGGTTCACTCGAGTGAACATTCACAAGAATGAATGCTTCATTTTTCTTTCATTCCATGTTCACACGACTTACTGAGAATGACAAAGAAAAGAACGTTCATCTGTTAATTACTTTAAATTACCGAACGAAACCGAAACCGAATATTCGGCCGTGGCTTCAGTTTCGGCCGAAACCGAAACCGAAAATCACGTTTGACCACGTTAAAATTCCTTAAAATACTGAAAGGTGCATTTTACCCATTATTGATTCCTAATTAATAGGACATGAAATGGAAAAACAGTATATTCATTTTGTTGTAGGTAATCATTTATTAAATATAACATAAAAAAATAATAATTATATTTTTATTATTTTTCCAAATTAAGTTCTCATAGCTAAATTTTTATCAGCTATCAATAATCAATTCACAAATTGTTACTGTTTCTTTAAATACCCATTGGTATTATGAAATCTTATTAATTAATACTTTCGTTTGTATTTGTACTTAGAAGAATCATCAACCTCTTTTATCTCAATATCGGAAACTGCACTTCTCAATATAGGATATGGACTGCTGTGCAAGAAACGAAGTACGGCGAGCGTGCACGACAACTTCCGAAATCAGCTTCGGTTTCGGCAAAAGTTTCGGCCAATTTTGGCCGAAACCGAAACTGCCGCCGAAACTTAATTTTTGGCCGAAACTCGGCCGAAACCGAAACCGAACTTTCGGTCGGACACTACTTTAAATATGTCATCGGGTGAAGTCGTGCGTCTCGGAATCCGTTTAATTTGTGATCATTTAATCCAAAAGTTATAAAAAGCATAGAAAACGTCGTAGACTGCTGTATTTTTTGTCTTCTTCAGTAACCTCGAGGTTTAAATCATTAATTAGGGATTTTATATCGTTTGTACGTAATGTTCTATCCTTGTATTCGTCAAGTTTTTGGTTCCATAAACATTGATAAGTCGGATCGGTTCATTAATGAATTCATTCGGCACTCTTTTTTCATTTTTCAGACGGTTCAGACGAATTATTTCTAGTGAAAGATGCCGAATGAAAGACAAAAATGAACGAAAAGTGAACCGTCTGACACCGCCTTTAAAGGCCTTTCCGGCCAAAGGCAGCCCCTACGGCTGCTTTTTAGTCAGTAAGAGTCTGACATAACCTTGCAGCCGGCTGTAGGGTATCCATGAGGATTTCTCACCGGCTCCCCCGCTTGGGAGGATAAAAAAAGCTATCGAGCCTAAATGAGGTACGTAATTACTCAGGTGACTGTGGAGGTTTTCAGGTCTAACACGAAGAAGTTTCTTCTAACGCATAAGTTTACTAAACCAAATTTAAACTCAGTCCGCCTAATTACCAAACGAAGACTAAAGTTAAACCTGGAATAAAACCGATACTGTCACTTCTGCTAGTTAAAAAGAAGTCAGAGACAGTGGCGTAGCATAGGTCACTAGCACCCGGTGCGGATTCCAAATTTGCCGCCCTCTTATTTTTGCAATCCATTATAAAAAAATTGAGGCATGGTAAAAAGAGTACTTTTAGTGAATAACACTAACCTAAGAGTGAAATTAACATTTTTTGACATAGAGTAGAAGGTAGACTATCACAATATCACTTAGAAAAATTACAGAGAAAACGTAATACAATAATTCCTAAATAATAGTTATTGAGAAACCTTGCGCTTGCATCACCCATGCATAGGTACCTGGGTATTTGGTAACAACAACAAAAAAATGACGAAAAAAAACTGAAAGAAATTAATTTTTTTTTATATTTTAATTTTTTTTCTCTATCTGCCACCTCCGCAGCGCCGCCCCCGGCAAAGTGCGGACCGCACCCCCCGCCCCCCCCCATGCTACGCCACTGGTCAGAGACAACATAGGTTTAAACAAAGACTAACTTTAGTCTGAGTGTCGTAGTAAGGTGGAATATCTTTTAGTTTTCAGACTAAGTCAGTGATGAGCATGTGCTACGTAGACCCACAATTCTGCATTTTGCATATTGCAAGCATAAAATGGAAAGTAGCCCTGAAGGCGGCTGCACCATTATCACACTGTACACACCAAAGAAATAAAGAATGGACCACGCGTTACCGCAAGTGTTCCCTACATTAGGCGGATAAGATCGTCTACGTATTGTTTGGCTACTCCTCCAAAATAACGTTATTCAGTTGATCGGTCTGGTGCTTTTTTGTTTATTAATGTTATTATACACGGTTTAAGTTTAGTTTAATTTAATCGTGACAAGTGAATTACAACTACCTTATGTCTAAAAACGTAAAAACTGGAAATAACTAAGAACTTAAATATACAATTTACAAAATATATCACCCCCAGCGCCGCCGTCAGGAATGGTGCCCAATAGGCTGGCAGCATTTCCACGTTGGATAGCGAGGCTAATCCGTTGGCCGAGGTAGCTGCCAGCCTTTTGATCACCGGTCACCTCGGTGAGTCTCTTAGACAATTCCTTAAAGAAGGAACGAGCACTTGGACCCCATGGTCCCATGGTCATGGTTTAAGTTATTTTTTCAAATAAGAAATCGTATGAGAATGTGTAGAATGTGGGTGCAGTAAGAAGCGACTAAGGGAACTCGGCCTTCATCCGATCTACTGGTGGTAGGGCGCTTAACACCCGCCTGGTTACAGTTACCACCGTGTGCATGGTGTACAACTCGTGAAGTGCTCCTTAAGCAGGTTTCGGGGTAAAGCGGGCTACTGACATCCCTGCCGCAGGGACAATTTAGGGCGATCGGCGGTCGGGGCAATATCGGCGTGCACATGCCTGCTATTCAGTGTTCGGGTGGATGTAGTGCTAAACACACGTGTTGATAATGGCCCCAGCATTATCAAAAATTCAAAAGATTGGTAGAGGGCCTTGGCTTTTTTATGGTGTCAGCGCAAAAAAGGAAATACTGGGTGAAGAATTGGCAACAGAATGAAATGTATTGTAAATAAATATTGTTTGTGTTTTTTTATCCCACATGTGGGGTCGGTTTTTATTACTACTATCACTCGAGACCAAACTCAATGCTCATTATGATATGCCACCATCTTTATCGAGATACGTGCGCACGGTGTGACAGTTACCAACCAACTGATGGGCTGAGTTTCTTGCCGGTTCTTCTCAGTACAAGGTCTCCCGCTGTAGTTTTGCGAACCGATGGCGTAGCTTCTTGACCTTCACAAGTGCTTGTAGAGAAATTGCCCCGATCGCGCTACACACGCGGCAACGTACAGGGCGGGAGGGACAATCTAGGAACCAAGGGTGGTCTCGCGCCCTTGCCGCAGGGCCAATTTAGAAAATTGCCCCTGCTTGCCTACACACATCACAATTAAGGGTCATCCCCACTCTTACACCCCATATTTCCTCTGTGGCAGGGATGTCAGTAGCCCGCTTAAGCTAGCGTACAACCAGCCCCCCTAGCATGAATAACAAAACGCGATATGATAAAGCGATTTATCGACACTCAACTGTCAAACTCCATTGTTGTTTGACAGTTAATATCGATAAATCGCTTTATCATATCGCGTTTTGTTACTCCTGCTAGGGGGGCAGAGCTTGAGTGGGCGTTGCCGCGACAGACTCGGTCCAGGGGAGGCGGCCTTCGAATCGATGTGGAGAGGATTGCATCGATCTGCCGGTCAGGGAGACCCGTATATAGAAATGGTTAACCCACTAGCCGCCCGTGGCATATTCCAGGGCCCGTGCGTTCCTTACCAGTTCGCGAGGGTGCCTCATCATGCTACGCATAATCTCCGTCAAAAAAGACCGTCGAGTCAGTTGGTGGGGTTGGGGCAGCCACTGCTGTGGGTTACGGGGCCTTTCCGTCCGGCCGATCGGTGCATGTCCTCTTTAGAAAGACACTCGAGGAAACAAGCCTCGCCAATTTGCCCGGTTTTGTCGCGTCAACGTCCATTCGTTTTACGTCTCTTCATCCTCCACAATAGCAGCTACAAAAACAAAGTTCGGACGTACAGCGTTCCACACCCCCGCGAATTCCGCGCTGGTTGAGGTTGAGTTCTGCAATATATGCGCCCTCGACTCAAACCTCAACGCTGCCCACCTAATTTTTTTTTCGTTTCAGGAACTAACCGGTTGCCTTTTGTCTTTTTCACACACACCTCTTTTTGCCGCGTTGCCTGTATCACAATTTACTTTGCAATTTACAACATCTGATATATAAAATTCTCGTGTCACAATGTCAGTTACCATAGGTACTCCTCCGAAACAGCTTGACCGATTTTTATGAAATTTTCTATGCATATTCTGTGAGAATGACAAGCGGCTACTTACTATATATCACACTAATATTATAAAGGCGAAAGTTTGTGAGTATGTGAGTGTGTATGTTTGTTACTTCTTCACGTCTAAACGGCTGGAACGATTTTAATAAAATTTAGTGTGGAGTTAGCTGATACCCTGGATTAACACATAGGCTACATTTTACTGCGAGATAATATCTTATTTCGATGGGAAAATCGATGCAAATGAATTTTGTTTAAGTAGGTACATATTTTTTGACATTCATGTCAAAGCTATTTTGATAGATTAATATTTCATACATATTTCTAGGACAACGATATTGTTATAATTTTTTTGTGTATCTAATTATGACTCACAATTGTAAACCAAATCGTTCACAGAGCTCACAAAGAGCTTCATCTATGAAAATTGCAAGACAGCAAGAATCTATACACTTATGATACTGAACAGCGCAGACGTGACCAAGCAACACGTCAGGCAAAAGTCAGAACTGGAGAAACTTCTGCGCAAGCTGATGCTCGGCGTCTGGAAAATCCTATCCGCATAGCTTCTCAGCGTGCATCAGAGACAACTGATGAGGCAGCTTTTCCGCGTCAAGAAAACGCACAGCCTATGGGCACACAGTGATCCAATCAAACACCTTATGAAGCAACTTCTCGACGGTGAGAGTATGCCCAGTTTATGGCTAATCAGCGTGCATTAGAGACACATGAAGAAGCAGCTACACGGCGTCAAGAAAACGCACAACGTTGTCCATTCAGCGTGCCATTGAAACACCTGATGAAGAAACTTCTCGACGGCTAAATCAATCCCAGCTAATGTCTAATCCGCGTGCTTCCGAGACAGTAGATGAGACAAATTCTAGACGACTCGCAGTCGCTCAGCATCAAGCAGAGTGCCGGCAAACATTTACCAGAAATGCTTGGGGGTTATTTGAAAAATGTGGTTTTGAATATGACTTGACATTGGATTACAATAGCCACAGGCTCATTAAAATTTGCCGTATGGAAAATGTGTGTCACCATTGTGGGGCATTAAAATGGAATGATGAAAGAGCGGGAATGTGTAGCTCTGGGGGCAAAGTAGCCATTCCTGTTTTAGAAGATCTGTGGAACCCTTAAATACATTATTTACAGGTGAAATTGATGAATCTTGACGGTTCTAAAACTGCGTACAACCCATGCTTTTACATGACGTCGTTCGGGGCAGACAAATTGCAATGCCTGGATTTTCCCCAACGTTCACAGTGCATGGCCAACTACATCACAATATGGGTGATGATCACCTAATGAACAGCCACAATTTTTACAGGTGTATTTTATGGGAGACGACGACGCGGAAACTGACAAACGGTGTCAAATCATTCAAGATATGGAGCGAGCAACTGTGCCAGGAAGACGAGTTTGCTCGCACGTGGAATGCGTCACGAAAACAATGGAAGGTTGCAGGGCGCACCCGTCGACGGTCGGCCTGGTGTGAAAGCCTTAGATGCCCACGGTAGAATTTATACCGTACACATAACACACTTTGAGTGCTATTGTGTACGGTTGCTGTTGCTATTACTAGAATCCGGGGTCCTACCAGTTTTCAAGCGCTCAAAATCGTCGATGGGCAGGAAAAGGCCACTTTTCAAGAAGCATGCGAGGCAATGAAGCTGCTTGAAGACGACGGCCACTGGGACGCAACGATGGAGTGCGCAATGTTGTGCCGGTCAGCGACTACGTTGAGAGAGCTCTTTGCGATTATGATAAGCACCTGCGGACTCTCCAATCCCCGGCAATTGTGGTACAAGTATAAAAAGCGCTTTGTCAGAGGACATTCCTCGCCGATATCAAGGGATCATCATCATCATCAGCCTATTAATGTCCCCACTGCTGGGGCACAGGCCTCCCTTATGGATGGAATGGGGAGATTGGGCCATGACCCACCGCGCGAGCCCAGTGCGGATTGATGGGTGCTAACGACTGCAGATGCAGCCGGGACCAACGGCTTAACGTGCCTTCCGAAGCAAGGAGGAGCTCGAGATAGTAAATTTTTGGTCACCCATCCAATGACCGACCACTGCGAAAGTTGCTTAACTTCGACGATCGCAGCTGAACGCGCTAACCACTTGCGCCATCGAGCTCCTCGACAAGGGATAACACTAGACATAATTTTTAAAGAAGCGCTGAAAGTCTTATTTCTTGGACGCACCAGGGGGCACCGGCAAGACTTTTTTAATGAACTTGCTGTTGGCACAGTTGTGCAAAGATAAAGTGGTTGCGCTGGCTGTTGCATCCTCCAGAATAGCCGCAACCTGGCTGAGTGGTGGCAGAACCCGACACTCAGTATTCAAGCTCCCGCTGAAACTTGCAAGTGAAGAAAAGCCCATTTGCAACATCAGTAAAAGTAGTAGTCGTGGAGCTCTATTACAATGGTGCAAATTGATCGTATGGGACCACATGCTCCCGTGTGTCGAGAGCAAGAAACACATTTTATTTACGCAGAAAACAATAAGTCCCGCATTGTGGTTTACCGGGATGTGCTACATTAAAGTGATTTCTAGGTCTCGCTCTACGACCCGAGACAAAAAACAATTACATAAGACAGCATAATCATCTCTCCCGTTCTGTCAGTTATCAAATTTTGTAAATTGATCTTTCCGATGTTTAAGTTTAAATTATTTTGCTTCTAAAAATGTGAATAGTCATTGTTTTTAATGTTAATACACAATTTATTTTCTCTAATAAGCCGCGGGTAACACCGCGGGGCACAGCTAGTTTTTCATAAATCTATAATGCGCCTTCGCGCCAAAATTCAAACTATTGGGTTGTGTAGCGTAGTGTTCTCATATGGTTTAGGAGGAATGTTATCCCAGGTAATTGGTAGAACACTAAGTAACGCACCCCTAACATTTTTTTTAAACTTTTATCGATATATGTATATAAAACTCAAAGGTGACTGACTGACATAGTGATCTATCAACGCACAGCCCAAACCACTGGACGGATCAGGCTGAAATTTGCCATGCAGGTAGAAGTTATGACGTAGGCATTCGCTAAGAAAGGATTTTGATCAATTCTACCCCCAAGGGGATAAAATAGGGAATTAAAGTTTGTATGAAACTTTGTCAATTTTAAACCGATCGGGCTGAGACTTTGCATGCAGGTATAAGAAAAATCGTAGATGAATGTCATTGTGTATAGTACAAGGCTGAGAACAAAAACTGTAGTCTACACTTCAGCTCTACACCGAAGCGAAGCGAGGGCGGGCCGCTAGTTTTATATAAAGTGGCAATTAAAATACATACTAAATTTTCATCGTTCTACCAACAGCCCCTATTTTCATGGCGGTACGAAGTTAGCTTTGTCAGCTAGCATAAGTATAATACCTCCTTGTCCCGACTGTGCCTGTAGAGCGCGTCCTTGAGCGCGAGCCAGTGTCGGCGCTGCGTCCAGTAGATGTCCTCACTGAGGTGTCCATGCAGCACTCCCCAGAACAGCTTAACCTAAAGTTGCCAACATTTAAAAAAAATATATAAATATGTTTAAATATGTTTTTGGTTGATCTTTTTAAAGAAAAAAATGTGTGCGTGTACTAGTGTACACACGTAAGAAGTGAAACTTCTTTATGGCCTTATTTTTTTCGAAAAATGATCTACATGCAACTTTCCAGAAATATATATATATATAGGCGTGCGCTAAGATTTTTCAAAAACTCACCCACTAAAGGGGTATAACTACACCTTACCTTACCTTACCTTACCTTACCTTACCTTACCTTACCTTACCTTACCTTACCTTACCTTACCTTACCTTACCTTACCTTACCTTACCTTACCTTACCTTACCTTACCTTATGTGAAACACGAATATTTGCTGTCGATACTTTTTTTTTTTAAAGTTGACAGAAGAAGCAATTGTTCGGATGAGGTAAATAGTGCTCTTTTAAAAAAAAGATGGCGCGTAACCAAAAAACGTGACGCGTAACCGAAAAAATGTGACGGTAATTTTTTTTCCAACGCCGATAAAGAAGTTTCACTTCAAACAGAGCATTCCACCTTCCCCTTTCCTTCAGAGGACCACGCGCACTGGCCTTCGTTGTCACCGTCTAACTGTGGCCATAATTCCAATGCGTACAAAAAAACTTGGTGACTCATTTCTTTGTCGCACTATCCGTAAATGGAATGCTCTGCTTGCTCACGTGTTCTCTCCTTCTTACAACCTGACTTTCTTTAAAAGAGGCGTGAATTAGCAACATGCAGGCCGGCAAGGTAAGGATGACTGGTGTGGCAGGTATAACTGCTGTACCAGCTATCTTCCCATCTGGACTTCACCATTTCTTAATATCAGGTGGGGTAGAGACTTTGCTCAGACCTATCTATAAAAAAAACGACGGGTTGCACTCCGGGAGTGCCGGCAGAAGTGAAAACCTGAATATTAACGTTGTGCATTTTTGATATTTTGGAATGGTAAGGGAATAATTTTGCACGAATTGCTTTAATTATCAGTATAAAAGTACTATCATTTATGTGGTAGAATACAATATTTATTTATTGCGCTATCGTACACAATATATTACATTAAAAAGTTTATCTCTCAAAAAATCAATACATGAATCACATTTGCGCACCTAGCGACATCTATTGTAAAAAAATGCATTTTCTTCACAAAAAAGCTGCCACCTGAACGTCCCACTTAAAGACTTATGATTATAATACGATAAAATAAAATATTACTATGTTTCGTCCAATATATTGAAAGTCAACAACCTTTCCAATTTTATTGTTTTCGTCTTACGAATTTTCGATTAGGTCACGTGTTCTGACGCGATCAGGCCACGTGTCCTGAAGCGAGTTTAACATTTTTTACCCATTACCACAAAAATGTACAACGCCGCTAAAGAAGTTTTCACTTCAAAAATCTAATATCAGAGACGATATATAAAGAGTAGTAAGTGTGAAATACAGGACCTTTATTTTACATTTTATAATGGCTGCGCGGGAGTTTGGCTTGAGTATACCACTCTAGAACGATAAACAATATAATATGTAATTAGTAAAAATTAGTATTTATCAATCCACCACCAAAAGATAGTGTTATTTAACTGTGATCTTATGTAAGGTAGAGATACTGTAGAACCTCTTCCACAGTCTAAAGATTACTCGAATTAGAGCGCTCGTCTTGGAAAATAAAAGGTTACTTCCCCATACCGGCCCGCCAATTCAAGCGGAAAATCCGTTATATCCCACCTCTCTAAGAACTGTTAATTTTTATAAACTGTTCTAAGGGAGGTAAGGCATGAAGGTGTATTTTTACACCTTTACGAAGTAGAGTACTAATACGAATAGTACCAGGGCCGGATTTAGGATTGTGGAGGCCCCGGGCCACAGACCCACCTGCCCTGCCTTCAATTCGGCCCTGCGGGCAAGTACCACTCAGCCATTAAGCGATTGGGGTACTCCCTCAAGATGGGTAGTGAATTGGAAGTGCTTATCAGGGCCATTTGAGATTTTGATATTTCACTGATTGCCTGATTGGAGTGAACAAATATAAATCAATGATTTCTGTTATTTAAGATTAATATAATCAAATAATCATGTATGTTAGATGTACAAAGTACTGTAGGCTATAGGTAAAGGTAAAAGAGCAAAAAAATATATCAAAGGAAAAGATGTTTACTGGTTGGAATTTGAATGATTTTTTTTTCCGAAGTCTCTATTGTGGGGGCCCCCCGTTTGTGGAGGCCCCGGGCTTTTGCCCCGGTTGCCCTCCCCTAAATCCGGCAGTGAATAGTACAGACACGTAACTCTAGCGCTGAACAAACACGCTGGGGGGATATCTGCGCATGGGTACGACTGGAGAGACAATCGGCGCAACACATCTTTATCTTCACTTCTGCGCAATAACTCTACTACTTTTTAGTATTTTCACCTGCGGTTCGTCCAGCATCTGTTCCGCGCCAGCGCACAGGTTGTACGCCCACTCCGCCCGGACTGAAGGCTGCTGGTATCTGAATGAAACAAAATGGTTACCGAGAAACAGAATTTAGATAAACTACGATAAAATAATCATCACCATCAGCTTATTAATGTCCCCACTGCTGCACAGGCCTTCCCTATGGATGGAATAGGGAGATTGGGTCATGACACACCACGCGGGCCCAGTGCGGATTGGCGGGTGCTAACGACTACAGATGCAGCCGAGATCAACGGCTTAACATGCCGTCTAAAGCACGAAGGAACCGAGATAACAGATTTTTGGTGCCCATCCCATGACCGACCACTGTGAAATTTGCTTAACTTCAACAAACGCGCTAGCCACCCGCGCCATCGATCTCCTCGATAAAAAAGCGTATAAGAAAAATACAACAATCAGGAAGATCCTAATACCTAAAATGCTGTAGTCATTAAAACACTCGTGCAGTGAACAAATCAATAAAGATCAAAGACAGTATGATAGCTCCATCCATTTCCGACAATATCTACCCTTAAAACTTTACCCATAACGCTACTGAGGATGGAATATTTCATAACCGGTTTTTGCAATAAATTAGAGACGAAGTCTTGTACGTAGAGTAGATACGGTTCATTTCACCCGTACTCTAAAATCGAGTTATGTCCTCTTTTGCATGTAGGTGTACTTTAAATCTACACGACAAAAATAAAGTGCGCCAAAATACTGTATTTACAAAGAGCAACAAAAAATAAGTTTTTAAGGACTGATAATGATAAAAAAAATGTATGCTGTGTACTTTATTTTAGTTTTACCAAAATGAAATGAAATATACTTCATTCGTCCTAAAAACGATGGCAACCCTAACGTTGAGTGTTGTACGTAGGTCGTTCCCCTAAACCACCTATCAATCCGCAGTGGGCCCGCGTGGTGGGTCATGGCCCAAACTCCCTATTTTATCCATAGGGAAGGCCGGTGCCCTAGCAGTGGGGACATTAGTAGGCTGATGATGATAACGTAGGTCGTTCAACTTAACCTATCATGAAAGTTATACAGGGTGTTACAAAAATACAAAATAAAGCTTGAAGGGCGTTGAAGTACATAAGGAGTATTCTATAATTTTCTTAATTTTTTTGCAATAAGTTTTAACTTTTTACAAAAACAATTGTTTTTAATGATTAAAAAATATATCGATCTTTTTAAGACACGTCACTAGTTCGAAGATCATTAAAAATAACTGTTTTTTTAAAAGGTTAAAACTTCATTCAAATATTTTAAGAAAATTAGAGAAGACTCCTCATATGATGTACTTCATCGCCCTTCAAGTTTTATTTGTATTTTTGTAACACCCTGTATAACTTTTATGATAGGTTAAGTTGAACGACCTACGTCATCATCATCATGTAGACACCACAGTATTCTTAGGGATTACTTTAGATTCTAAGCTTCAATGGGGCCCACATATTGATAAATTGTCAAATAGACTTAGTTCTGCAGCATATGCCGTAATGAAGATACGCCAGTTAACGGATGTAGATACGGCCAGATTAGTATACTTTAGTTATTTCCATAGTGTAATGTCGTACGGAATTTTATTGTGGGGAAACGCCGCCGACATTCAAACTATTTTTGTGCTGCAGAAGAGAGCTATTCGATCAATTTATAATCTTAAAGTTAAGGATTCCTTAAGAGATAGGTTTAAAGAATTTGGTATAATGACGGTCGCATCACAATACATTTACGAAAATTTATTACTTGTAAGAAAAAATATTAATTTGTTTCTTAAAAACAGTGATGTTCACACACTTAATACAAGAAACAAAAATAAACTAACTTTACCTACTACTAGGCTTCACAAAATCAATAATTCATTTAAAGGTCTTTGTGTTCGCTTATACAATAAAGTCCCAAGCAATATCCAAGAATTAAGCATAAATAAATTCAAAGATAGTATAAAAAAAGCACTTATTAAAAAAGCTTATTACAAAGTGTCTGATTATATTACAGACAAAAATGCTTGGGTTTGAACTGTTCCAATCATTCAGACAGGTTTTCTATATTAAATAAATCATGATTGTATTGACGTTGTAACAACATAATGATTTGTAAATGTTGTTACATTATGCTTTTAATGTTGTGGAGTTTTTTTCGCTCGTTTTTCTCCGCAGCTAAAAAATATGTCCAATAACGAGTGGTAGGGAAAAAAAATGTTTGGACGATTCAAAAGTGTTGTACTATACATCCAATTTGAATAAAGATATATTGATTTCTGATTTCTGATCAGCCTATTAATTTCCCACTGCTGGGGCACCAGCCTTCCCTATGGATAGAATAGGGAGTTTGGGCTATGACCCACCACGCAAGTCCACTGCGGATTGGTGGTTTAGGGTAACGACCTACGTACAACACTCTACGTCAGGTTTGCCACCGTTTCTAGGACGAATAAAGTATTTTTCATTTCATTTTGGTAAAAATAAAATAAAGTACACAGCATAAACATACTTTTTTTCATAATCAGACCTTAAAAACTTATTTTTTGTTGCTCTTTGTAAATACAGTATTTTGGGGCACTTTATTTTTGTCGTGTTGATTTAAAGTACACCTACATGCAAAAGAGGACATAACTCGATTTTAGAGTACGGGTGAAATACAAGATGAATCCTCACCGATCCTCAAAGTAGTTGGTGACGTAGTCCTGCATGGGCAGGTGGCGGGCGTGCTCCAGCTTGGCGAGCCAGATGTCGTTGATGATGACGCTCACCTCGCGCCGCGACAGGCGCAGGTTGCGCACCTTGCCCTCGTAGCGTAGGTACGGCGGTATCATGGGGTCTTTACCCTGCCAACCAGAGACAGAGAGGGAATCATTTTTTTTGACCACATTTATAAAAAGGAGGAGCTCGATGGCGCAGGTGGCTAGCGCGTTCGGCTGCGATCGTTGAAGTTAAGCAACTTTTGGATGGGTGACCAAAAATTTACTATCTCGAGCTGTTCCGTGCTTCGGAAGGCACGTTAAACCGTTGGTCCCGGCTGCATTTGCAGTCGTTAGCACCCACCAATCCGCACTGGGCCCGCGTGGTGGGTCATGGCCCAATCTCCCTATTCCATCCATAGGGAAGGCCTGTGCCCCAGCAGTGAAGACATTAATAGGCTGATGATGATGACATTTATAAAATTACAGAACAACATACAAAAAAATTTAAAATAATTTAGACTTGCAACGAATATTCGGTTACTATTCGGTATTCGGCCTATTCGGCTGCTTTTATTATATTCGGCCGAATACCGAATATCTACATATTATTCGGCCGAATACCGAATACTTAAAAATATATTTTGTCATAGAGAAATAATTGGTAAAATGAAAAATTTCATCGATTGATTTCGTTTAAATTCATATTTTCATTTCTATTATACAAGCATTTAAGTAGTCATTGGTACATAACACAGGTACATAATCATCTTCTGAATTGGAAAAATGGACGATTCTATGTATTTGAATTATTGTGTCTTCCTCACTTTACAAGAGATTTGTGTGAGACAGTACTATTTGCTGATGACACCTCTTTAGTGTTTAAAGCTAGGAGAGGAAATGATTGTTATGACGAAGTAAATTGTGCTCTCTCTGAAGTCCTTCACTGGTTTACGGTAAATAATTTAAAACTAAACTCTAGCAAAACAAAATGTGTTAAGTTTACTTTACCTAATGTGAGGCAGGTTAATACTAGTTTAAAAATAAATGACCAACCTGTAGGATTCTACAAAGTTTCTGGGTATTACTTTAGACTCGCATCTGCAATGGGATCCTCATATTGATGCCTTATCAAGTAGACTGAGCTCTGCGGCCTTCGCTGTTAAAAAAATAAGACTCCTAACTGATGTGGAAACGGCAAGAATGGTTTACTTTGGTTACTTTCATAGCGTTATGTCATATGGCCTTTTGTTGTGGGGCTCAGCTGCTAATATAGAAAGTATTTTCGTACTGCAAAAGAGAGCTGTTCGCGCCATATATAATTCAAAGGCAAGAGAATCTCTTAGAGAAAAATTTAAAGAAATTAATATTTTAACACTGGCATCGCAATACATCTATGAAAATATAATATATGTAAGAAGAAACTATGACGCATTTGCAAAAAAAGTCAAACCCATAACTTAAACACGAGATTTAAGAACAAGCTTGCCGTTCCATGTTTCAGACTCCAAAAATCAAGAGGTTCATTTCTGGGATGTAGTATTGCATTGTTTAACAAAGTTCCCCAAGATCTGATTGAGCTTCCACTAACCAAATTTAAATCTCAGATTAAGAATACTCTTATGAATAAGGGCTATTATAAAGTTAATGATTATCTAAATGATCGTAATGCATGGACATAGTGTTTCTTGTAATTTCTTATTTGATGGGTATGAGTCAGTTTTGTAACAGTAGTATGGTACCTATCTAATGCCGCTTCCTATATATACTAAATATAAAATTTGTTGTAACTATATATCTATACCCTAAATAATGTAATGGAAGGTGACTTCAGAAGTATGTCTGAAGTCATTTTTCAACTTGACGACTCTGTATATATCAATACAGGGAGAAAAAAGCAGCCCTTGCTGAGTTTCTTGCCGGTTCTTCTCAGTACAAGGTCTCCCGCCGTAGTTTTGCGAACCGATGGCGTAGCTTCTTGACTTTCACAAGTGCTTGTAACAGCCTAGACTGAATAAATGACTTTTCATTTCATTTCATTTCATTTGTGGTAATCAAAATTTAGAAGGGTAAGGTTCTCATTTCTTTTATAATCATTTATTAAGTAGTATTGGTACATAAAACAGGTACATAATTTAATCATTTTCTGTATTAAACAAGTTAACAGTTTTTCATTCATTCAGACATGTGATGAATGGTTACATAATAGCAATAATTTAAAGTTTACGCGTCGTTTTTGGCCATATCTCGAAAGTTGGTTTTGTCATTTAGCCGCATTTTAGCTTGAGGACGGCAGATTAGAACAAAACAAAGGAGCGCGAAACAATCACGTCTGTATAAGTTTTTGGCGCTAAAATCCAGCCGAATACTTTTGCCTAATATTCGGCTATTCGGTCAGGGGCCTCGCCGAATATTCGGTATACTGCCGAATATACTATTCGTTGCAAGTCTATAAAATATACATAATGGAGTAAAGAGAAAAAAAATGGGTGGTGTACTTATGTAGGCGCGTGAGAAGTTATCCTTCTTTGGCATCGTTTAAAATTAGTTTTTAATTGCATGCAAATAATTAATTACAATAAATTAATAAAAAGTCTGGAAAAGGACACAGTCAATAAAGTTCAGTTTTAATTTGAAAAAATAAATAAATAATCAAAATATTCAATTAAAATCGCTACTGAATATAATTTATTAGAACATATGTGATTTGCACTTGTATGAAACTCAAACACGTATTCCGAATATACAAACTAGAAACATGTGGATAAATATTATAATACCTATAACTGTTACTTTATTACAAAAAATAAAGATGTGGTTTTTGGTTCTACTACACCAATGGTCAAGAGATGGCGCTGTAGTCTCCTGAATCGCGCTTTGGTTCCGTTGTTCCAGATTAATAAATACTTTTGATATAATAAATATGAATACCTAACGTTACTTAATTACAAAAAATAAAGATGTGGTTTTTGGTTCTACTACACCAATGGTCAAGAGATGGCGCTGTAGTCTCCTGAATCGCGCTTTGGTTCCGTTGTTTCAGATTAATAAATACTTTTGATAGGCCTTCACAATGCAGTCGTTAGCACCCACTAAATAGAGATTCTATTTCTATTTTGTTGGTAGATTTTCTTAATGTGCGGTAAACACAAAAGTAACAGCATGAAGTTGGTCGCTTTAGCGACACATCTTAAAATTTCACTCTCATCATTTTTTCATAACGCGCCTAAAGAAGTATAACTTCAAAAATACATTAATAATAGTACCATTTGTGGTCAATCGGGACCCTGGCTCAGCATAATGCTGCCGCAACACGCTACAACCAATAACATGGAACAAAATTTTACTAAATAGCTCGATGGTGCGGCTGGTTAGCGAGGAGCTCGATGGCGCGGGTGGTTAGCGCGTCCGGCTGCGATCGTTGAAGTTAAGAAACTTTTGCAATGGTCGGTCATTGGATGGGTGACCAAAAATTTTCTATCTCCATTCCTCCGTGCTTCGGAAGGCACTTTAAGCCGTTGGTCCCGGCTGCATCTCTAGTCGTTAGCCCCCGCCAATCTGCACTGGGCCCGCGTAGTGGGTCATGGCCCAATCTCCTTATTCTATCCATAGGGAAGGCCTGTGCCAAAGCAGTGGGGACATTAATAAGCTGATGATGATGAAATTTTATTATGAAAAAATTCTACGCGGACCAGACCGCAAACGGGACTAGAAACCGTACCCTCCGCTATCCGAACGGGTGCACTGACCATTATTATTTGTGTTAAAGCAGCCCTAATTGTCCGTGTCGAATTTTCTCTAGCATTTCTTAGGCTGCAAGGCAGCCTGCAAGGCTGCCTTGCAGCCTAAGAAATGCTGCCTTTCCTTTAGATTTAAATGCTTAAAAAATAAAAGTATATCATGGGAGAAGATGAAAACTGCACTCATAGACGTATTGCGTCGAAATGCTTGCCTGCACGCACTACATTAAAAAAGTCCCGCATCGCGTAGATCCTTTGTCTGTCTGTGTTCACGATGATACCAAAAAAATCTGAACGTGTTTTCGTGTGGTTTTTACCATCAATTAGATATTTTTTTCATGGTTAAGTTATGCCCAAGAACGAGAATATTAGAAAGCAAGCCACTGACTCTGTCAGTAGTACGATTGCGTTATAATAATTTATATCTTCGAAACGGCACAATAAGATTCATGATTTTTATATTACATGTGCTCATTTTTTTATATTAAAACGGTTGCAAATAAGCTTAGGGCCCCACTGATGGTAAGTGGCCACCATAGCCCCTTTTTTTTATTACGCAGGTAAAAAATGGTGTTTACAGACAACGGCGCCTTTAAGAGGCACACCGCCGAACGGACCCGACCGAACCCACCTCACACCTGGCTCCCGCAAGTCTTACGGACCCCCTAGTGGCTGCCCACCGAGAACCCCGTAACTCTTACGGGCGCTTTACGGCATAATATCCGCTAAAAAACCCTGCGAATACCCTCTAAGCTGCTTAATGCGAAACCTCCACGGCAGGGGTCTCTCGAGGTATTGCAGGGATCCCGCAGACGTACGCAGGATGGCCCACGCGTGGGGGCTGGGGACGCGGCCTAGTGCCCACCGTACCGCCCCCCGTCCACTGCGGAGCCACCATAGCCAGCGATTCCAAAAGTATCTATCACTCGCGCCAAGAGTTGCTAGGCCGCCAAACCTAATAACCGGACAGACCAGTCAGTTTGGCCGGGCATTTGGGTGAAAAACCGGAAACCCTACATTATTGAGGATTTTGTGGCTCAGTAATATTAGGTGCGACAAGAAATTTGATGTAAAAGCGACCGACAGTCAACTTGCTTGCGCTCGGCCACGCTCGGTGCTCGCTTGTTTACGAAACGAAAAAGCTGCTATTACTGATTATATTGGCCGGACACGCAATCAAAAATCCTTACTATGTCAGGCTTTATCCGGACGCCTGGGAACGCACCTCGCGCCGTTGATCTACCCTTTCTTTTTTATTTGTGTCTGGAAAATGCTTTACGCATCCTTCAACCACTGGGGGAGCGAGAAGAATGTATGTGGGACTCCTCCCCGTACGCTTCAGCTAGCCCTGAGGCTCGCCGAAGGCAATACTCCAGCACTGGTCACCCGACACGCAATCCGGGGACCGGGGTCCCTCCATTGCGTGGCGAGGATTCCCGCCAGTGATTGTCCGAGAAACACAATACCACCAAAAGGTAGTGTTATTTCCTGTGGTCTTCTGTAAGGTGGAGGATACTTCTCCAGGCCGACGGTCTAATTCGAGCGAAAACTCCGCCACTCTTTAAAACGTGCTTACAAAAACCATGACCATACCAGCTTGTTACAGACAGAGATAACTTTTGTTACTCCTGTTACCATTGACACTCACAAGTCCTTCGAAGTACTCCAACTGTTCACTTTCGGCCGCCGGACCTAGCTCCTTCAACAGTACCCTGAGGACGTCCCGGGATGACAAACCACTCGCCAGTTGCCACCATCTGCAAATTAAATAAATAGTGAAATTTAATTTTTGTAAAAAATCATGGTAAAAGTGAAATTTTATTTGTAAAAAACATGGTAAGTAGTACCTTCAGGTTTAAATCAAACTTAAAATAAGGTGCTCGTGAGTGGTCCTAACGTCAAAAATACGTAAAATTAGACAAAGTTGCTGAGTTGGAAATCTGTTTCGAGTAGTAGGTAGGTTAGGTAGTAGTATGAGGGGTTGAAGTTCGAAAATCCAGGTGGCTGTCTATGTAATGAAAAAAACAATGGCAATGTATAAGCACACTGACTGATACCGACCTATCTCTGCCGCCTCCGATGAAGTCAGCGCACAGCTCCCACTGCGGGCGAGGGGTGCCGGAGCGCTCCAGTTCGTTGCATCGCTCCTGGATCTCAAGCAACTCTTCCTCCACACCTTTCTTCAAGGCTACCATATCAGAACAGAGAATCATTTACTTCAAAAAGAGTAAAAAGAAAAAAAAGAGTAAGAGGCCTGACGGCATGACACTCGCTCCTTGGAAGCTGGGACGGGCACTTGTGTGGGACGCAACCTGCGTCGACACTCTGGCCCCGTCTCATATTCCCGGAACCTCGATGCAGGCTGGCGCGGCTGCTTCGACCGCAGAGGTCCTTAAGCGCCGCAAGTATGATTGCCTCAGTGGAGACCTCACATTTGCGGCGTTTGGAGTCGAGACTCAGGGACCCTGGGGCCCCGGTGCCCACCATCTTTTCAAAGATATCGCGAAAAGATTGGTGGAGACCACTGGAGACCGCAGAGCTGGCGGCTATTTCGCTCAGCGCATAAGTCTCGCCATTCAGCGGGGAAATGCCGCCAGCATCCTGGGAACCTTTGCCGACGGGGAAGACTTAGGGCAGCTATTTTTTTAATATTTTTAATTTTTGTCTAGTTTTAGTGTACCTAGTTTTAGTTTAATATCTAAATGTAAATTGTTGTTTTTGTATATATTGTTTATTTCTAAAAAAATAGTTGATAATATTATTTTACTTCATAATCATTAATGTAGGCTAACGATAAAATAACAACTATGAACTTGGAAATCTTCGCTCGACTCATCTTGCGTGTCTCCTATTCATTAGTTGTGGGTGCTAACAACTGGTAGATGCATCCGAGAGCAACGGCTCAATGTGCCTTCCAAAGAATAAACAAAGGACCTCGTGTAAATATTTTTTGTAGAAGGATGGACCTTACCCTGACTACATTTGACGACCTCCGTGGTCGAGTGGTTTGTACGCCGGGTTTCATGGTGTCGCCGACTTGAGAGGTCCCAGGTTCGAATCTCGGTGGGGGCTGATGTTTGTGTGATGAATACGAGCATTTGTACTCCAGTCATGGATGTTTCATATCGATTTTCTATATAAACATACTTATATATGTACAGTATATGTATTCTATCCGTTACTCTAGCATCCCATATAACAAGCCTTACAGTGCTTACTTTGGGGTTAGGCTAATTGGTTTGAGTGTTAGACATATTTATTATTATTATTATTACATTCCCTGCGCCACGGAGTCCTGGCTGGCAACCTTATCCACCACAGAAGAACAAAAATATTGAATTGCACTGTTTGGTCTCCTGTAGTTGAAAATTCTGGACTATGTTCACGTCTGTCTTAAACACCATTTAAAAAAAACAGGTAAAAAAAACCGATCATTATATTATGCAAGTACACAAGTGCTTTAGCTCATATATTCATTTTGTTATCATTTATAAGTAAACCACTTCGTTACGTAACGCGTTACGGCGTCATTCTGTCTGGCTTCCCTTCTTCTCACGCAGACGGCAGCGGTAGGCAGGCTCCTCCTGTCACACTAGCCCGCAGCGCCGCTTAGATTAGTTTAAGTTATCACTTCTTCATTTAGATGTGATGTGAGATGAGTTGAGATGCACACCCTTTTTTTATTATTTCAGATTTTGGATCTATACAGTCCTAATGGAACTGTAGTCACTGCAACCCTAAAGATCTGTTGTGACTCGCCACCAAGTTAAAGTATCTCTTTTAGCCCGACAGCTTCCAAGAAGCTTAGAACGTAGTTAATTACCCAAGGTTCGTTTGTGAGTTTCCTGCAATGCCTCCAGCTCCTTCCGCAGCGATTCCACGGCTTGCGTCTGGTCGTGCAGCTGCGCGGATGCGACATCGTAATCGCGGCGAGGAACAGTCTCCGCGTACTCGTCCGCCGTTTTCTTCAGCTCGCGTTGGGTCCGTGTTAACTGCTCTCTGAAAACCGACACATTTTTGAATATTTTTCATACGTCTATATTTAGAGAAAGCCTATCAAATGGAGTCCATCGTCAATTCAACAATTTATTATGTTTCCGATGTGAAGTTTATTAGAAGCACAAGCAGATTGTTCTAAGTGGCCGAACGGCCGGCCATTAACGTCAACTTTTTAAAATAAGTAATATAGGTACGTAAATTCTTTAAATAATACTTCGCAAGCTTGTAAATTCGGTACATAATTATTATTCAATGTTTATCAAACATGGACATTAAACGCCTTATCACAAAACGTAGACTAAAGTTAAACCTGGACTAAAACTGATGCTGTCACTTTTGTTTGCTAAAATTAAGACAGAGACAACGTAAGGTTTCAACCAAGACTAACTTTAATAAGGGGGTTAATATTTGCAATTCCAACTTACCCAATTAATTTAGTTCCACTCATAATCATCTCACCATACTGACCTGCAGCGCTCGAGCGCAATTCTAAGCACCACAGGATCTCCGCTGCTATCCACGCAGTGCGAACTACCGTCCAGCTCTTTCAGCTTCATATGTAGTCCAACGTTCTCGAAGTAAAGGGTGTATCGTGCGTCTCGCTCGCGCATCAGCGACAGGTATTCCGAGAAATGCTCATCCTTCAACTGAATGGCATAAAAATCTACGTTGATATTTAGTTCGCTTCAAATTGGCCGTCGATGACCGTTGTACAATGTGTCATAGGCCAATCACAGGCACATCAACTGGTATCGTCGACCACAGAACACAGAAAGAGGATAGAAAGGTTATCATAGACCGATTGTACCGGAACCGATGTCGCCTCCTCGCGCCCACAACACTTCCACCTAATAGATAATAGCCAATCAAACAACGCGATATCAAATAATCGAACCAATCAGCGCTCACTCCCGAGAATAACGACGCAATCAGAATCAAGTTTTGGTCAAATTACAAGCATTTGCTCTCACATAACTGTGGCGCTTTTTTTTTTGTTTGAGTGTGTATGGTGTGGTACGGGTTTGGGGACGGCGAGATCCTAAGGGGACCTCAAGCCGAGAATTGGCGAGTGCCTCTAGAGGTATTCCAGGCGAATGGCGTCTTCCCATGGGGGGAGTCTCCTCTCCGTCTGGAGCCTCTAGACCACTCGAACCTGAGGGGGTCGACTCAACTAGAGGGCGTCTCTGGGACTCGGACCTCGGCTCTAGTTAGCCGTTGTCGTGGGGGTCGGGGAAAAACGCCCAGGTACGTACCTGTACCTGGTATAGGGTGTCGTGTGTAGACCGGGTCTTCGCACTCTTATCCTACGGGTGCGGTGTCTGCCTAATGCTAAGCTAGTGTGCACGTTTGCTAGCTGTGCAGTGTTGGTGTTTTTGGTCTGTGTGGGAGGAATCGGAGGCGCGTTGGCGCGGGTGATTTCGTCGTCGGGGTAATCTAAGACGTGCCTAGGCCGACGGAATCGAAGGGACCTATGATTGGAGGTAGGGAGGGCGGACGTATGATAACTACTCGCTTTAACTACTAAGGTGTTCGGGTGATGCGCGGCTTTATCGAAGTAACGCCTCGAGGCGTCCTTCATATACTTCGCGATGGAGTCTAATTTGAGGTCGCGATACAAATCGATGTTGCGCACATACCACAGGCAACCCGTGGCACCGCGCAACACACGATTTTGCAGCGTTTGTAGTGGTTTATGACGCGACGGAGGTACGTGGGTGAAGCAAACACTCGCGTAGGTCATGATAGGGCGGATACAAGTTTTGTAAATTGTCAACTTATGCCTAAGTGACATCTTACTACGCTTCCCTATGAGGTGGAATAGCCTGACGCGAATGAATGCTGCGCGATCGCGAATTATCTTGAGATGAGATGCAAACGTTAATCGGGTGTCTAACGTAACTCCCAAATACTTGACCCGGTCCTCCCAGGGGATGACCCGGTCAAATAGTTGGATGCTCGGAACAGAACGCGTGAGAGGCGGGGTCGTGCTAAAGAGGATCGCGACGCTTTTCTCCGGATTAACCTCGATACGCCATCTACGGAACCAATCGCCAAGGGTGGTAGCGGCTGATTGAAGTCTATTACAGACTGTTCCGAGACGTCTATCGGAGGTAAACTGTGGTGCGCCTGCCCCACCCACAAGGCCCTTCTAACCTCTTTCTGTGTTGTGTGGGGTCGACTAATAGGGTCTGTCTAGCGGTGTGGTGAGGTGGGGAGGATGGGAGCGGCCAACTCGAAGCGAACGCGTAGTAACTTAATTTTATTTGCTTTCCCTATCCCTTAGACGATTTTTTATTGCAATACGAGGGTAGACAGGCAGTGTCTGTCAGCTGTCTGTTACAACTACGCCGCCATAGCGATCAGTCGACTTCGGAAAAGCCCCGTTCCAAATTACCTAGTTTCACGCGACAATTGTACAACTAGCACAAAGGAAAATCAGTAAAATCACCAGATTACATGGAGGACAGTGTACATAATCTACTATATAAAAATAAGTCGGGTTTTCCTTCCTGACGCTATAACTCCAGAATGCACGAACCGATTTCCACGGTTTTGCATTCGTTGGAAATGTCTCGGGCTCCGTGAGGTTTATAGCAAAGAAAATTCAGGAAAAATTAAAAAAAAAATCGTTTTCTTTTAATCACAAAACGAAATGTTACATAAAACGAAGCTATCTGGTGGCGAAACGGAGTTCGCTGGGTTTGCTAGTATTATATAAAACAAAGTAAGATAATGAAACAACATAAACTTTATTAGGTAAAATTGTGCTTATCAACACATTATGAATGATGCAATAATAAATGATTACAGGACTTCAACAAGGCAGTTCAAAAGTTATAATATTTATACAATTAACTAATGAAAACATGGACCATCAATATAATAACATAGCTCAATGCTAATAAACGTAACATCAAATTTATCCACATCACAATATATAAGCAGTAAAATAATCTCCTTGCCTGTTATAATATCACCTCATCATTATTATGCTACACTGATAACAGTACATTAACATAACAAAGTGTAACCTGGCATTGTGCAAAGAAAATAACAGACATTTATCTTTGAAACGTACCTTTTCTATGGCTATTTTCTTATTATTTATATCAAAATTTAATTTTGAATTTTGTACTTTTAAAGACTCATTTTCTTTGAGCAAATTCATAATTTTACTATCCCTCTCTTCCTTTTTCATAGACCAACCAAATACTCTCTGAAATTTTTAAAGTCTCACAAGATTAAAGCTGCACTGTTTTTATAACAATTATTATTAGATAAAATCTTATTCTATATATTTCATATCAATCACAAACCAATAGAAACAAACAAATGAGTTGTGATATTATAAAAAATATAATAAAACAATATAAATTTTTTATAATAAAATAAGTGAAGTGTCTTAACCTAAACAAGCAACTTTAATATCAACACATTAAACAATTTGCTGCTGATTATTGACTGCTACATTATGACGCAATTTTATCGCTTGAATGCAGTCACAACTAAATTAGTGAGATCAATTTGATAATCAATTGTCTCCATACTTTTTATGATCTAACCACTTGTACACTTGACTTCTTATGCGAGAAATGTCAGCTCCGTATGTCCTACAGCAACCTCCAATGTACCTCACACCTATGTCCAACCATTCCTGCACAAATGTCTCAATGGATTCGCATTGGTCCCCGTCTATCCAACCAATTTGTGGATTGTATTTTTCACCAGAATTGGGATAAGTAATAAGAGTTATAGGATCTTCTTGACGATCAGCATTGATATCTTTAAATAATAGTGAGACTATTGAAGGTGAGCAGCAATTGACACCGACAGCTACCAGCTGTCCAGAGCTCATATCCCAACACTTTGTAGCGGCCTCCTGGAAATTTTCTCCATGTGCAATGGAAATGGCATCTTGGCAACTAAAAGAAAGCCAAGCTTTTGTCATTGGATATTCAGTGAGCATCTGAACTAGGACTTCTGCTTCTTTCTGGCACGGAATAGTTTCAAATGCAAGAAGGTCAATTCCCGACTCTATTAATGCTTTTATTCGGGGAGCATGCCATTCTCGCATTGCCTCTGTTGAAGTTCTGTCAGCATAACTGCCGTCGTACTCCGATCCATCATGCAAATGTGCGCCATAAGGTCCCACAGACCCCACTATTAGAGGGGTCTTCGCTGATACTCCATTGTTGAGACATTCTTCCAAGTAAGTATCGCGAGCACGCTTAGCTAGTTCCACGGCACGGCGAATGAGGGCCACTCCCTCCTGCTGTGTAACGCCGAGATGTTTAACGAAACCATCAACAGAGGCCTGGTAAGTATTGGTCATAATTGCATCAGCGCCGGCACGTAGAAAATCTAAATGTGTGTTAACTACTTCCTGAGGATGCGTTTGAAGGAATCTCGCACTCCATAAAGGATCACCATCTCCAGAGGCTCCAATGTGACAGGACAGTTGTGTCGAGAAGCCACCGTCGAGAACCACAATTTCAGGAATATCATCGCCGGTTATTCCGGCCATATCTCTATAGTAATTTGTTCAATATTTTCCGAGTTTTCGGACACGGGTTCATACACTTAAAAATCTTATTTATCAAGTAAATTATAGCATGAACCTCTCCACATGTCGAAGAGTACCCTAATGATAATTTATTTGCACAAATAAATAATACCTTTCGCCATTTTCCGCAAAAACATTTGATTATTGTTTGTCACTGCCACTGCCACTGTCACTGTGAAACACAGATGGGTTGCGTTCCGATCCACAAACTGAGTACATAAAAAATACATCATATAAAGTCCTCTACGCACTACCCATCTTGCTGCATGGATCCAACGTGCATGTCCTTAAACATAGGATGTATGCCTGACAGTACCCCTAGCACGAACCATTAACGAATTCGAATAGCTTACGAGTCCAAAATGTCTGGACGTGAATATTAGCAGCGATTTATTGTCGCTGCCCATGCAGCGATCGTATCGCTGTAAATCTGAAAAGTCTAAGTCGCATGATAGTCGCCAGCGACATCGTTGCTGTGTAGACGTGGCCGGATTTGAAATTTAGCGGAACTACATTAATATTTTAGGTCTTTTGTGACTGAATTTATAGAACTATATCGGGACTGACCTTAATTATGGGTGGGTAATAGTAAATATTACTGAAATAGCGAAATTTTAGTCGCACTAATTTATTTAATCTTTTTTTGCCTCCTCTTTTATGTAAACGACTTCTAACAACATTCGATGCATTTCTATAGACCATAAAATCGAGCACAAGCAAAACAATAACGGTAGCTACCAGTATGTACACGTCTGCTGCGAAATAAATACTAAAAAATCGCTACAATGTAGACCCATAAGTCATTAATCGCTAGCGAGTCACCGTCGATCAAAGTCGCTACTTGGAGATCTAGCTTAACGAGAAATAAAAATCAATACACATTTGACAATGACATTTCGTACTCGCAAACGATTTTGAGTCGTGCTAAGGGTACAGTGCTTTATACGTGAAAGAGATGGAGATACAGAATCTTTTTTGTATCTCCATCTCTTTTATATTATTCCATGTGTATAGTGCTGGAGCTGCTCCGTATGCTAGATGCAACAAGATGGATAGTGCTGTGATAATACCTTTTTTTACAACTTTGGTTAAAAAAATTCACCCTATCTATGTATTATGTAAACTAAAACAATGCGGAATATACTTACATCTTGAGTTACGTATTGAGATATGCGATTATCCCTTATATTAAGAGCATTTTCATATGCCTGCTTGATATCCTTGAGAACTTTTGAATACGTTATTGAACATTCAATTAAACTTGCAAAAGCTTCACGATAAATCTGTAATGTTAAAATATGCGTTTATAAAACCCTTAAATATACATACCTAGCATTGAGTTTGTATTATTTCCAACTACCTTTCTAAAATAGTGCTAATTAGGTGCTTGTAGCAAGTACAAGCATTTATTTTGTTGTTGGTATTATTAATGAACTTCTTAATAATTATTATTACTGAAGTATTTTTAAGCGCCTGTTCTCCAGCTACAGGTAATAATTATATAATTTAACGAAAACCTGTTATTAGCCTTACAAGTAGTCGTAGTAAGTTTGGATATCTATATTATTTCACGCTGTCAGTTTTCTTTAATAAATAAAAAAACTTTTAAAGATTTGAGCATATGGAGAAAATGTATCAGTTTTATAAAGCGTTAGCACAGAAAATGTATTTATATGCATTGTTGAAGTTATACTTCTTTAGGCGCGTCATGAAAAAATGATGAGAGTGAAATTTTTAGATGCGCGCGCATCACTGTAACCCAAAAGTAACAGCATGAAGTTGGCCGCGGGCGCATTATGAAAAAATCATGTGAGTGAAATTTCGAGATGCGCCCGCATCACTGTAACACAATAGTAACACCATGAAGTTGGCCGCGGGCGCGTTATGAATGTTACTGTCTAATAATGGTGGATTATTAACCTTTTAGTGGTTAATAATCCACCATTATTAGACATCTGTTCGAAAGGTACTTTGAACGATCCACGGAGCTCCTTAAGATGATCGCGTTGTCTAAAACAATGTTGGCACGCTCATCGCCTCTGATCACTGTTTTCATATTTATAATATTTATCCACATGTTTCTAGTTTCTATATAGACACAACGTGTTTTAGTTACTTACAAGTGCTAATTACGTATGGACTAATAACTTAAATTCAGTAGTGATTTTAATTGAATATTTTGAATATTTATTTAATTTTTCAAATTAAAACTGAACTTAATTGACTGTGTTAACTATCCTTTTCCAGTCCTTTTATTATTTTATCATAATTATTAATTATTTGCATGCAATTAAAAAATATTTTTAATGATGCTAAAGAAGTATAACTTCTCACGCGCGTACATAAGTTACACGCATCCATTTTTAAGTGTCGTATTTCTAGGTATTTGAATAAATACCTAAATTTAAAGCTATTAAAAGTTAGTGTTATATCACTTACCTTCAATAAGTCATCGTTATACAGTTGGTTTGTTTCTAACAATTTATTTGTAGGTTTTTTCGTTAACTTCAATTGATTATTTAGATTTGTTGTTATTTCTTTTAAGTGTTTCGGCGTGCTATTTGAGGCCATTTTTAATTTAGTATAAAAATATTTAGATTCAACTCTCTCATTACTCAATAGATTTTTGTTTCCGTAGTGATTATCATATTTATGATAAGCACTACGGAATCATCATATTTAAGGACGATACGTCCTTGATTGTACTTTTTCCAAAGAAAGTCAGGAACTTATTTGCTGAAAGTTAGCTTTGATAATTGTGAATATTATTGATACATAAATAATAAATACAAACTAAATAAAGAAAGTTTGTACAAAGTTTTATTTCTTAGGCGCTCGAGGTCGCTTAAAGCCATCCTAAACCTCATACAAAAACAGTAGAGTGCTGCCACCTATGGAGGCCAATGAAACCTGTGGATGTGACGTCACTCACTGACAGTCAGTCAGCTTGAAAGACGGAAATTAGAAATGGCTGCGATAGGTAGTGGACGGGGAACGATGAATTCCCAAAATCAAGTGCAAAGTGATACTATAGATCGTTTAAAATTGTTATATCCTAATGTTAATGAAGATGAGACACCTTTACCTAGAGCTTGGAGTACTAAAGATAAATTCAGCTACATCGGTTTATCGCAAAATAATCTTCGAGTCCATTACAAAGGTAAGAACTTTGAAGGTTTGTTTATGGCTATGTAACTCTCGAAACTGTTATTCACTTGACTTTATAAAGATTTATGTGTAACGAGGGTGTTATTTATATAATGTAATGTAATGGAAATTCATTTGACGTGTCATAACTTGTTGTCGTTGTATGGAGCTTCGAAACTATCAAACAAAGAAATCAGCTGATCGTATATTTTGAACAACAAGCAAAAATAAATGATGACTAGGCGAATGCTAAAGATCGTTTCTAGACAGTTCACAAACCAATGTTAAGTAAAATAAGCAGCTTAGACGATTTACGTTTCTCGTCATATTCTACAAGGTCTCTTCTTCTATAAAATGGCAGACTAAAAGGTTAAAAGAAACTTAGTGTGTACATAACAGCTATTTGTTTTAGTATATTTGTCATTCTCTTCAAGTTGCTGTGAAATTCATAGATTGTGGTCATGCTCTTATTTATTTCTGCTGTGATATAATTTGGGAGAAATTTGTAGATATTCCCTACTAACTTCATTATTTATTATTTATAATTAAATAAGCATATTATTTCTATTAATAGATTTATATATGTATAAGTGTATTCAATGATATTATAAAATATTTGGTATTGAAATTACATTGCAAATACTCTAGAAGCCTTTTTTTTGCTGTTTCATTTAAGTAATAGAAGGTTGCCGAAGTAGTATTTTATCATTAATTTAATTAGCTCAGTACGTCTTCCTTGGGAAGAAAATTGACAATGTTTGTCTGAAATATCTGTTGAGTTTATTTTGTGTCATATGTATGTGGCTATGTTTGTAAATCTTTAAGTATGGAATTTTTGTTTAGGGCTGAACTGTCCGGAAGGTAGGTATTAATATAAATGGTCAATACAGACTGGCGAAGTGCATTTACTCACTTCTTCGTTGGTATGTTTTTACCAGTAGTGCTTATCATAAAAAATTTAATTAGGTTTATTGTTGTATTGTTTGATATCAACATACAGCAAAGGTGTTTACATTTTATAATCCAATTGATCAATAAAGATTTGTTTATTGTAGTTTAAAATTTTAAAACTGATTGCTATATCAATAAAATAACAATAGTACGCAATCTTATTGTCTTGTTAAATTTATATTGTGACAGTATAATATTTTCTCAATTTACACACAAAGACATTTATAAATCTTTTATAAGATTTAATTTTGGATAAATCCTTTATTTGTCTATCTTAATATTATAAGAATATGAATTTAGAGATTCTTTGTTAAATCTATTTCATTCCTATAGTTTATTAATTACAGACTTTTGTTTGATTGACTCCTCAAGTACTCTTAGGATTAAAAATAATGCAAATAGAAAGAAAGAAAGATTTTTTTAGCCTTAAATAACAAGGTAATGCAGTACTATAACAAATGTAATAAAAAAAGGCCAACTATGTCCTAGCCTCAGTATAGTGCCACAGTGACACCAGAGCTGTTGCAGTGCTGATATTCTGGCAGGGCAAGGGATATAGACACAAAATGAGTATTTTCAAAAAAAAAACTGCAAATAACAATAAAATTATGTTTAACAATAACCATTGCCTGTCTGCTGTTAGTTTAAACTTTGTCTTGTTTCTATTTATCTAACTGGTTCAATAAGGAAAGTTTGTATCACAGACTATATTGTTTTTAATTAAAATTATTAATTAGAATGAGTTTTTAATTATATTCTATTTTTGTTAGTCAGCAATATTAAAGATACCATATATTCAGAATTTGATTATTCAAAATCCTAGATATAATAGAAAGTCCTTTCTGATTGATATGTTGCTCCATCAGCCTATTTGCAATCTATTTTTTTTTATTTCTTTATATCATTATTTATTACCCTGTCTCATGGGTCATGCATGAACAATAAATAATGTTTTCCTCTGCAGCATTTGAATAGTCATCAACAGATATGGTTATCCAAAACTGTCAAATTTCTCAAACTGACTACGTCAATATATTGAGAAAAATTTCCACTTTACAAGGTAACTCATTGTTGACTGTTTTACTAGAAATGTTTGTTCAAAACCAGAAAATCTTATTCACACTAATAAGTGCTGTAGGAAACTTGAAAATTGAAAGTTCTTCTGAACAATTAAGTGCATAATAAAGAATGTTTCTTAGAATGTTTAATTGCATGACATATAAATTGGTATTTATATTATAAACCTTATGGTTTATTTACTCTCACACCACTAGGGTGTCAATTCTGCTAAGGTGACAAAAAAATTGTGTCTCAATAGCGGTTCATTACATTAAGTATCGTTTTTTGCCACAGTTCTTATTACTAAATCATAAAATAACAAATGCATAAAGGATACCACAATAACAAATGAGTATTCTCATATATAAATGATAGAAAATCACATAATATACTTAAGTGATTTTGAATACTTATAGTAACAATAAAATAAGTGTGTCAAAAATCAAAAACTACTGGAACACCATTGATTGAAATTTATCAGAATCAACATCCTGATGTTAACTGTAAGTGGAGTCCAGTCACTAGATACGCTGGAGCAGTAGGAATGATTGTGTTGCTCTGGCTATCCCCACAAGCCTGCTGGACCCTGTGAGCCCTGTAACCTTACCCACCAATAATTACTGCTGTAAAAATTAAGTCTTGTTTTAATTAAATTTTTGGTTGTTATTAGAATTCCTGTGATCATTGCATACTCTACTCATAATTATTTATTTCTTCATTAAAGCTAGGTTATACACTGAGCATTACTGGTAGTATAGATAAAATAATATAGTACATTTTATCTCTCTATCCATCCTATCTTTAACAAAATGGAATAAGAAATATTTTCTTACATATTTTTATAGTATGCAAAACGTGTCATACTATAAAAATATGTAAGATATCTAACTTGGTTAACCTCATTCATCATATCATAGAAGTGGTTAACGTTTATAATATTATTGGTTAAAAGAAAATTTTACTGGAATATGTCCACAGCCTAGGGGGCCTACCGCCTATCGGAATTGCTTTGGCTATAGCTTATGATTTCATTTTATTATTTCTAACCCGACGCCGTAGGTTTTCAAATAATGTAAAATGAATGTTGTACGGAATTTTATTGTGGAGAAACCCCGCCGACATTCAAACTATTTTTGTGCTGCAGAAGAGAGCTATTAGATCAATTTATAATCTTAAAGTTAAAGTATCTTTAAGAGATTAATTTAAAGAATTTGGCATAATTATGCATCACAATACATATACGAAAATGTATTACAGTGATGTTCACACACTTAATACAAGAAACAAAAATAAACTAATTTTACCTGCTCCTAGGTTTCACAAAATCAATAATTCATTTGAAAAACAAAATTTGAAAATGACTTTGTGTTCGCTTATACAATAAAGTCCCAAGCAATATCCAAGAGTTAACCATAAATACCTACATTCAAAGATAGGTTGTATAAAAAAGGCCTTATTAGAGAGCTTTTAGAAGTGTCTGATTATATTACAGACAAAAATGCTTTTCCAACAGGTTTTCTATATTAAATAAATCATGATTGTATTGACGTTGTAACAACATAATGATTTGTAAATGTTTACATTATATTTTTGATGTTGTAGAGTTTTTTCGCTCATTTTTCTCCACATCTGAAAAATATTTCAAATAACGAGTGGTAGGGAAAAATAATATTTGACGATTTAAAAGAGTTGTTCTTTACATCCAATTAGAATAAAGATACATAGTATATTGATTTCTGAATACCTTGCGCTCATTTTCTTAAATATTGTTATTACCAATTTTAAAAGAGCATGAGGCATTTGAAAACCTTTAACGGTCAGTGGCGTCTTCACTATGCACTATGCTACCGAGACCTTTATAGACGTGTCGAATTTCTTCTAGTATTCCGTAGGCTGCAAGGCAACACCACGTCTTCACATTGTAGATAAACTACAATATCAAACACTGTATCGTTTGCATTTTGCATGTTTTGAATAGGTATAAGTTCTAGCTTACACTTGCTTAGTATTTTCTAAACAAACAATGACAATAGATGTATATATAACTTTGACATGATATTGATTTCTCATCAGCCAAATTAAGGCAGAGGGCTCAAGAAAAATAAAAAAATATACAATACAATACACAATTCTTTATTGAAAACAGTACAGTACAGTACATAAATGAGGTAAATACATTATGTTTAAACAGTGATTCAATGGGCGGTCTTATCGCTAAAAGCGATTTCTTCCAGACAACCTTTGGATGGAGAGGATTGAATGAAACTGGAGTCGGTGGTGTTATAAAAGAAACAAAGGATATAAAAATTTATATAGCTATATATATATTAAATATTTATACAATAACACCTTACCTTATGCTACATACAGCAGTAACGCAACTTCGTGACTGTAATTCATGTATATTGTTTTAAACTTTCATGGTCACTAACATTATAGTAATATAAGTTATTTACGGGATTGTTACCATGTACCTTGTTTTTAGCGAGTTTCCGATATTTCGGTACTGTTGCAAGCGCCATGATCACGGAGTAACTGTTAAGGGGGCGTCCATAAATTACGTGAGATGTTTAAGGGGAGGAGGAGGTCGAGTCAAATCTCATCTAATCTTACGTTGGAGAGAGGGGGGGTCTCGGCCAATATCACGCATTTTTTTTTCACAGTAGTATCTATTAAGTATTCTATTGTTAAATTTTTATTACACTTATAACTCTCAGCAATATTGATTACTAGTCTTAACTAGTCGTAAATAAAAGCACGAAGCATTTTTTTTTCTTTTTACAATAACAATCCAACGCGTTTACGAAAGAAACCCACATTTTGAAAAATCTCACGTGAGATTGGGGGATGGGGAGGGGGTTGAATAAAATCTCACGACATCTCACCAGGGGGGGGGGGGGGAGGGACAGAGAATCCAAAAAAACACTTCACGTAATTTATGGACGGGCGTCCATAAACGGACGTAGTTTGAGAACAGTACCGAAATATCGGAAACTCGCTAAA